CCTGTGTGTTTGAAGTTCACGATCGACCCCAGGACCGATGTGATGGGGCCGAAGTACAGAGATAGCAGAGGTTCCACTCTTACCGGTCACTAATTAACTATGTTCCTCAAGTGTTTACTCTTGATACCTGTAGATGGGATGATGTAGACTGCATTGAATATTTTAGGTAAATTGATTTCTTTATTTTGAATAGAAACAGAACTGAATTGTATACTAAAACTTAAAACCTATAATATGAAAATTCATAAAGGCAGAAATAGGTTGCCTGATTCATCTCTTCCAACTCAACTTACTCAAAGAAGTAGCCTGAAGGTATGGATATTGGCCATATCTGAAGAAAGTCATATGTATCCTCCATTTCTGGCTTTCAAGTGGACAATGATTGAAGGATTTACTTAACGTCTTTGGTACTTCTTGAGTACAGCTACTAACTATCTTTAATGATACTGTGTTATGGCCGCTGTAATGATATAGTAAAAAGCTTAAATGGGATAAAAACCGCCTATTTAGGACAAAGCTAATTGAGTATCCCTGTGCTTTTAATAATACAACTGGGCTTTCAGGTAAGATTATCTGCTATTACTATCTTCTAGTTTATTAAGCTAATAGTTTAACATATTAGAGATAGGGATCTGGGGGTTTGTAGATAGTACCATGAGGTCATTTACTGTCCAGGCTACAATCAGCAAAGCTTCTACTCAGGTTTTAAAAAAGCACATAGTACTAAGTTCTAAAGTATCGTGACATGTGATGGACTATTGAGCAGCTTAGCTGGACTGTTTTTGGCCCTAGTAGAGGATTGGATTTTGTGAGAACACTTGGGTGTGGCTGACCAGCTACGGAAAATGATGGAATCAGGTGATAAGACACTGTATATATATGGTAATGCTGCTTATTTACCAGCATTTGGAATAATGGGTCCACCCTGCAGAGAGGGTATGATACCAGCTGAGGAAGCAGTTAATATTGTCATATCAAGATGTAAAATTGTAGTAAAATGAAGATTTGCACATATAGTTAACTACTAGTCCTTTTCTGCATTTAAACGTAGTTTGAAACTTCACCTTTCCCTTGTTGTTACCTATTATATGGTAGTGGTTTTGTTTACAAACTGTCATACTTGTCTCCATGGAAAAAATCAGACTTTAAAAAGTTTAAAATGGATCTACCATTAGTGGAAGAGTATTTGTATTTAAAGGACTAAGACAAGTTTGAGGAAACTTATATTGAAAACTAGGAAGAAGGAAAACCAGATTTCAACAAATCAAGAATAGTTGCAGTATTATACTGCACCTGTATAAGAGTCTTATAAAAATATAAAATTTCCTCCTACTTCTCCTCTATCCTATCCATTCATCTTGCAATAGAGATAACTTAATCCGTAACCTCCAATCCTACTTCTAAATCTCTTTAAACTAGTAGCTCCTCCTCTACTATTCACTCTTTATTTCCTCTTTGTGCTAGTAGACCATCAGCAATTTTATTCAACATTTTTGTTAATCCAATATTTTCTGCTGCAATCTCTTTATCTAAATGCTTTCCTCGATCTCTAATTCTCCTTCTCTTTTTCTTCAAACCTTCTACTCTTTTTTCTTTTACCTTCTTCTTAAATAGAATAACAGTTAAACCCTCGGGCTCCACCTCTTCGATATTGAAATCACCAGAACTGCTTATAATCGGTGCACTACTGGTGCCTGAATCTTGAAATGAAGCTAAAACTTTCTCGAAACTCCGCTTACTAGAAAGCATAGATATCATATTGTGGTGATAGTTTTCACTACAAACCTTTTCCATCTCAGCAAATTCTGAGCTTGCTATAGTCAATTTTGCTGATTAACAGTCATCACCATTCAAAAAAAAACAAAAAAATTTAGATATTAGTATCATGATTCATAAAAAATGTATTATAGCAAGTAGTTTAATCTAATATTACTTGAATACAAATACACATACCGAGTCTACTTGCTGCTTCCACTGTTCCATTAACTACTCATACTCGCCATCTTATTGAGCAGTTCTTGTTCCACGGGAATGGGATGCCATCGAAATCACATAGTCATCTAATATCTTCTGTGTCATTTGATATGGGTTTTTTACAGGCCTTCCAAGTTGCTGACTTGCGAGTCTGACCACCTTTTTCCAAAACTTCCTACATCTTCCAGGAACTGAATATTCTGGTGCATACAGGAGACAAAGAAGAATAACAGCAAACTTTTCATCTTTCGTTTAACGAACCCGCTTATCCTGATCTCAAATACCAGTTGGCTGAGTCTCAGAAAGATTGGGAGTGTTGGGTGGTACAAAGATACTTCCTGCATTCTGGCCTGTATTCTATGATATTGTAGGATGATGAGATGGTATCAACAAGCGATGATCTGATGTAAACAAACCACTTTAAGAAATTTTCTTAATCAAGAACATTTCTTAACTCTACTTTTGCTACTTGCTACACTACACTACACCCTCTTCTTATTAGTGTGGTCATAATCCCTGCCGTTGCCATGGAGATAGTAAAAGTGTCGTAATTAAGAAATAATAGCAGAACCTCCCTATTCCGGCGGTCCTTCTTATTCTGGCCTTTCTAGAGCAGTACTGTACTTGTACGAGTACGAGTAAGGTAAGTGCAGCGGTGGACTCCGGCTCTCGTTTCGTTTCCTTTCGTTTCCTTTCGTTCGTCCCACCATAGCACCTTGCAACGATATTGTGTATCATGGTTGGGGAATTCTTTAACCGGAGCATCTCAGACCTGAAAAGATGCACGAGCCCAAACCGCTGGGGCTCCTCAACGACAACTTTTTCAATACTCACCTTTCTATCCTTCGATAGACAATAAGCTGGAGATCTGGAGATAGAAAGGTGTTTTTGAAGATATCAACTTTTGAACGAGATACGGTAAAGTTATTGGAGGGTTAGGGTTAGGTGTACTCGTTCAGTACTTGGGACACAAATGTTGCATACAGTTATTTAGCCGATAAAATTGCGGGTTTATTCTGCCAAGAAACGAGAATTTATTGATAGTTGTCTGCCTGGAACACCAATTAACATGTATTACTAGGCAAAGTGAACGTCGTTACCCGAATAGCCCCTCTATGGTTTAAGGATTCCTCCACCATAACCTAAATTTACTTGTACTGTGCTAGTAATCGAGGCTGGTGTCCCTTCTCCACACCAAAGTAAAATAATATCACACCCACAGCAACTCACCGCAAGGCACGATATCAAACCTGGTGACACCAATGTCTCACCCTGCCAGTCTCGAGTACTGTAACTCCTCCTCCACCACTCCTTCTTGTAAGCACCGGTGTGCGTGCGTGGGAGAGAGAGGATGGGAACTTGATGTATTTCCTAGCTACGAACGTTGCTACTTAAGTAAATACATGAATGCCAAGCCGTGACGCCCACTGTGCTCTTCAACCCTAATGCCCGTGAGGTAACCCCAGTACCCCTTACTAACACTTCTGGCGGCTACACTGGGCTCCGGGAATGGGGACATAGTTGATCCCATCTTTTTTTCCGCCCTACCTACTCAAGTACTTACACCTACCTAGTTTAGCCAATCGTCGCACAGCACAATCACCGGTACTTGAATGCTGGCCGGCAGACCCGACTCGGATCGCAACTCTCGACCATTCGGAGGGGCAGGATAAGCTCGGACTGTTACTGGATGGTGACTTTTTTTTCTTTTTTCCCCTCCTCTCTTGGGAGGGGTCTACTTTCTATGATGGGTGGAGAGGAAGGAAAGGCTTGAGGTATCATGGATTGGATTGGGGTGGAGTTCACTGGACTGAATTGGACCATACGCTGTCACGCTGCGCATAATGGACCAGGTTTTGACGACATTTGGATTGGGAGGCATACTGCAATGCCTTACCGAGAAAAGAAAACGAAGGGAAGGGGAGGGAAGTATTGATATCGCTGTGATTGAGCGAGCAAGTCAATATGAACGAGGCTTTAAGATTTTACTTCTTTTTTTTTTCTTCTTTTCTTCTTTTTTCTGCCATCAAGCTTTATCACGAAAATACTCCCTTGCTTGCTTGCTTGCTCGCTATCATAACTACAATTTCCATCTATCGTCAACATCCCGGTGGACAAACAGGGCAGGTGGATCTCGTTCCTCGTTTCTTTTCTTTCTCTCGTTCTATACTCGCGTGTGGTAAGACGGCAGGTCCATTCCATAGAAATTTATTTAATAAGTCCCAGGGACCCGCGAGGAAGTAAGCAACAAGATCTTATCTACGGGCACGGTGGTAGGGAAGTTTTGAGATCCCAAACGGAAATAAAGGCCGGCGAGTCCATCATACTAAAAAAAATTCCATTCTGAATTGGGATAACTTGCTCTAGTCCCCGTCCTTTTTTCCCTCTCACTCTTACTCTGCTGTGCTTCTATCCTCCCCTTCACCTTCAGACTCGGTTTACAGAAGAGAGTGTGTGAGAGGGAGAGGGTGAAGAAGAGATCTGATTTAAACTCGATCTCCCAAAATGACTTGGATCGATCGGACAAACAGACGGGTGGCCGACAGTTCATTCGGTCGATACTTTCGACTAGAACATTCTGGTCACAGGAAGGAGCGAAAGGGCTCACGATTCTTTACGGAGATTCGTGCTGGTCTTGCTACGTGAGTGTCAATTAGCCAACCTACGATCAAACCGAAACTTTAAATTTGAGCACTCGGTTTTTGTCTTCGCCGCCGCATAGTTGCTGATGGTTCCCGAGTCTAGTTTCTTTGCAATGGCGTTCGTCTCTCTCCCACCCTGCGTTTTCCCGCTCGCTCACATGCTCTTCACCGGAATTTACCCCCCCTCTCACTAGACCTTGTTCTCCCTTGCTAACCCTGTTGTTCAATTGGTCATAGCTATATAATTGCTGTAAGAATTTTCTCCTCCCTTTCCTTTCCGCTCCCAAATTCGCAATTGAGCGGGCTCGGAACACTAGGCTAATATCACTTGGGCAAAAACACAGGTAAATGCGAATATCACATCGCAATCCGGCGGAACCTGTGTCTGCACACCAACGCAAGAGGACCCGGTATGCGACAAGAGCGAAGAATACATGCTATGCGTGGGCATTGTGCAACGAGATCTGGTAACCGCAACTGCCGCCATCGCCGCCCTGACATCCTTCTTCATGGGACTCGGAGCGAACATCCCCATCGCATGCGCGCCCGGTATGGGACTTAACGCCTACTTTGCATACCAAGTCGTTGGATACCATGGCTCGGGGCCGGTGCCCTACAGGCTCGCTGTGACGGCGGTCTTCGTGGAGGGGTTCATATTTGTTGCCCTATCGATATTGGGAATGCGGCAGTGGCTCGCCAGGGCCATCCCTGCTTCCATCAAACTCGCTACCGGTGCTGGTATCGGACTTTACCTTGCGCTTATCGGGTTGACCTATTCCGCTGGCATCGGCGCGATCACCGGCGCTGTGTCGACTCCGTTGGATTTGGCCGGGTGTAAGCCCGAGTTTAGGGATGAAGTTACTGGGGTTTGCGAAGGGTATAAGCTGAGGAATCCGACGCTTTGGATTGGCATCTTTTGCGGTGGGATTGTCACCGCTTTTTTGATGATGTATCGGTGGGTGTTGTGACCCTTTGGTGGTTGAGGTGGTGGTGATGTTGGGGTGGTGGTGGCGGTTGCTGATTGGCTTGTAGGGTCAAGGGTGCCATCATTGCCGGCATCGCCCTTGTGTCGATTATCTCGTGGCCAAGACCTACGGAAGTTACTTATTTCCCTTACAATTCTGAGGGAAATCAGAGGTTCGACTTTTTCAAAAATGTGGTTGCTTTCCACAAGGTATTCCATTATCCTCACCCTTGAGACCCTCTTTACTCACGAAGAATAGATCCAAAAGGTTCTTGTTGCGCAAGAATGGGACTTGTCCGGCGCCGGCGGTCAATTTGGCTTAGGTGAGTGACGTCCAACAAATGGAACATGTCTCACCAACTAATCTCTGGGAAAACTCCCAGCACTCGTAACCTTCCTCTACGTCGATATCCTCGACTGCACCGGAACCCTCTACTCAATGGCACGCTTCGCCGGCTTCATAGACGAGCGCACCCAAGGTACCTACCCTCCTCCCCGAACCCTAATACCGTCAAACTAATGCTCTCCGCTGGGCAAGACTTTGAGGGCTCAGCCATGGCCTACATCGTCGACGCCATGGGCATCTCCCTCGGCTCGCTCTTCGGATCCCCACCTGTGACCGCATACATAGAGTCCGGTGCCGGTATCTCCGAAGGCGGAATAACCGGGATAACAGCCATGGTGACGGGAGTCTGCTTCTTCATCTCCGTCTTTTTTGCCCCCATATTCGCCAGCATCCCTCCCTGGGCCACCGGCTCCACACTCATCATCGTGGGTAGCATGATGATGAAGGCGGCCGCAGACATAAACTGGTCCTACCCCGGCGACGGAATACCAGCGTTCGTAACAATCATGGTGATGCCGTTCACCTACTCCATCGCCTACGGCCTCATCGCCGGCATCATCACGTACATCATCCTCAATACGGGAGCCTGGTTCATCGAAATCGCGTCCGGCGGGCGCATCGTGCCCTACGGCAAGGAGCTCAAGGACCACTGGACCTGGCGCATACCCGGGGGCTTCTTCCCCGCGTGGGTTGTGCGCATCGCGCACGGCGATAGGAAGTTTTGGAAGAGAGAGGCGTATGATGGACAGAGTGGTGGTGCTAGTGGCGCTAGTACCCCGCAAGAGAAAGTCGGTAGGGAGCCAAGAGGTGCCGCAAGCGAAGACTTGGGAGTGGAGATGGGAAGTGCTGGCAGCCGGGTTGCAGTTGGGAAGGATGAGAAGTTTGTTAAGGATGGGTAAATTAACATCGAGGTGGGGAAGGGGCAGTTTCATAATATGATATAATGTGCATATGTTTCGGGTTTGGTTTGGCTTGGTTTGGGTTCTCTTTCTTTTTTTTTTTTCCCCTTGAATCGGAAGGTTTTGCTTCTAGGGCGGCTTTGTAACCCTTGGTGAATGGTTAGAAGGAGAATCGCTTCCGCTGTTCCGGATTTCGCACACTTCTATCTATAGCGCAAAAGACGAAGGTTTTAGTACGAGAACCTAACGATAAACAGGAAAGGCGATAAATCCTGACTGTGACCCGGCCGACAATCCCCTAAAGATGATACTATGTCACGATATTACCGACAGGGGATTTTCCAGGTTGTTTTGCCATTTATCCTCTGCACCGCCGGGGTTAGCAACGTTATCAAGTTACCGCTACGGTAGTCCAATCGCTGGAAAACCTGCTCTACTCGAGCACAGTTCGAAGGGATAAGACCCGTCAGTCTATACTCTTGCCGCGACACTGTATTACCCGACTAAACTAGAAACATCGCCAGAGCAACCAAACAAAGCACGCTCCAATATCACAGACGAGTGAGAGAACCTCTTCGGAAACCCTCCCCCCCCCCCCCTAAAAGCACCGTAAAAACTTTAACCCACAGAAACAGCGCCCTTCGGCAAAACCGCCACCAAAACCTACCTACAGCCACAGGCACGGAACACCGACACCCGTAGATAAATAAAATAACGGGGAATCGCGTCTACCGCAGTCCCTGCCGGCGACGGTTGCCTCCATTCCCGTCACCATAGAGCGTACCATTCAGAGTGTACGTTGAGTCCGGGGATAAATCCCCCCCTACCCTGCGATATCGTCGTTGTTCGGTGCAGGACCGTCACACAATCTCACCCGCCGTTGGGCCTTGGCTGACCTGGAGGATAATTTTTCTCTCTTTTGGGTCGGTTTGGTGCGGATGCGTAGATGGGTGGGCGTCGTCATATTGCGGGTGAAAAATGTTTGTATGATGGGGTAGATATCATAAGTGGTTTTGCGCGCTGCAGATGAGGGTGCTAGCTGTGTGCCCGGGGTTGGGTGCGATCATGAGATGTCACTGAGGTGGGATTCTCGTGGACGATTATCATATGAATTAAGCGGAGCGTGCTAGCGTTGAATATTTCCTATAATAATAATTATTATCAATTTTGTTTCCTTCCTTCCTTTTCCCCTTCCTCATTCTCTGACATTCCACAAGCAACTCAGCTGGAAGACCCGGCCCATGAACGCCATTATATTTCCCAAACCGCCATACATCCTCCTTCTAGCGTAAAAGAAAAGGTGTGTGTGGAGGGGGGGGGAGAATTGTAGGGTGCTCATTGAGTTTCTTCTCTCATGGAATATATATGCCCAAGTGCATATTAGAAACGACCGCGAGGACAATCAACCGGTAATTGAACAACACAGCACCCCCTGTTTGGCCCTCGTGTCTTCACATATCTTTGGAGATGGCTGTCAGAAAGTGAGATGGATCGAAGGTAATCTTATCGTTTTTGTTTTTTTCCGCTAGGTGGAATTGCCTGCTGCGTTCTTGTATCATAATGGCGCTGCATTTCCACTCGCATCACGAATATACGGTGGTAGGTCGATATGGAAGGAGGGTCCAGGAGCGGATCACTCTCTTCCAGTGTGAAGCTTCTCACTCTTTTCTCCGCCCGCTCGTACACGATTCGTTCGCGGAATCTCCCGAGAGGGCTCTACTCTCGCTCTCCAGCACAGCCCACGAGGAGTCCCCGGGCCAGATGCCCAAGGCGGATCGTTCGATGCTCAGCAGTTTACCAAGTACCAATATATAGTACGGTACTGGACTCCAATTCGCAGACCACGATCACCTTCGTGAATCCCGACATAGAAGGCAAGGGAGTCGAGTGATGGCCCGATGACAACCACGACCTCCCACACAGTTTATGATACCTTAGCCATGATGTCAGACCACCAGGAACGAGGACCTCAAGAAATAATCATACTCCTAAATCACTACCGTAACTTTCATCAACTCATCACACAGCATTGTGTCTTTCTCCTCCCCCCCCCCACCCCGTTCAACACGCCACTCACAACCGACTTGGGAAATACTATCGTACAGGTACTCGAGTACGAGTACAGTACTGTGTGAACATGGATCTCATAATCAAAATCAAAATCAAAAAAAAAAGTGTCAGGGATGAATTAACGCCTCCTTACATCAGCTAAAAGACTACCGTAAGCCCATCAAATTACCGCACTCTACTGTACACAAAAGTCCAACCGTTATTACGGTAGCAGTTGCCACATCGTTCGTTAGATGGGATGGAAGTTCATGTTCTCTTTTCGGGGACAAGCTGACCTGTATTATTCCGACGAAGTAGATTACCGAAAGGGGGAGGGGGAGGATTTTCCCTTACTTTCTTTCCTCCTCTTCATATTCCTTTTTCGCATGACCTCAGGGCTGTATCGCCCCTTTCCCGTGCTTGCGGCTCCTTGATAGGTTGTTGCGCGTGGAGTGTAATATCATACTCGTACTGTACGAGCACAATGCTTTCATCATAGGGGGTGAAGGAGAGGATCATGGAATACCGTATCGTATGCAGGTGGCGACGCCGCATCAGACGGAGGAGGAAAAAGAACCCGTGGATGGTATAAACTAATTTACCATCTACTTCTATATCCTCCTTTCCCATCCCCCTATTCTGGTTTCTACAAGTATCCTCATCGCTAAATATATAAGGGAACCCAGGCGATGCGGTGTATCCTCTCAGAAGCACAATCCCATTAGAAAAAAACCCCACAACCCGGTCAAATCCGAGTGACACCCCATGTTCCCTTCCTTCACCCCTTCCTCCCTACTTGCGTACCCTTACGGGACCGGCAACACTTCCATCACGGGGAATAGTCTCTCAACCTCCAAAAGCAGCACCATGAACCCTCTTACGTCCTCAAAAAGGGGGCGACCCCCATAATCCTGATGCAAGTAGCAATACCGGTAGACCACTAATAGCATCCTCCAATAGTCTATCAATGCGTTGTCCACTTTACCCCCCTTGTCGGTTCGAGTGAGTCTTTGTGAACACTGAACTGGCAGCCCCCCCTGCGTGTGTACGAGTAAGTACGAGGTACGAGTACACTTAGTGCCGATGAAGGAATACCGGTATCGTGCTCGAGTACCGGTATGGGCTAGCCTTAAGGTTAAGGGTGGCTTGAAACTCTTCAGGAACTGCGGTTGTGGCGTGGGTATTTTTGGTGAAACGGCTTGGCGAGGTACTGCTATTTGCAAGGTGCATCCAGGACGAGTAAGTACCCCTTGGGCTCTGTGGAGCGGGCAATTTGGAGCTGAAAAAGTAGGAATTGATTACCCGAGATCAGTCAATCGATCACCGTATTACTTGTACTTGCGGCTCAATTGTCACGTTAGAGTATGGCCCCCATAGAACACCGGGTGAAGGAGGTGAAGGAGCAATGGATGTGGATGGGGATTGTGCACTACCGACGGCTTACGGTTCTCATCGATGCCATGTGATTTCCCGGCTGCTTCTTGCAGGAGTATCTCCCGTTTCCCCAGCATGGATCCCGCCGCGTTTGAGGATGCATAGAACCGCGGTCGTAAAATTTGCAAGAGAACAGTGCGCATAGTTACCGGTATTATATTGAGTGTCTGAATGTCATAGCTTTTATGGTTCAAGAGAGAGAGAAAGGATATCGCACCCGCGCGCTGTTAGCACGTACAGTAGCTCGAGTGCCGGTACGCACAGTATGGGACACTTGTGGGGCTTCGAGCCTTCCGACGACTGGTTAGCTTGACTGACATCTCGAACACGTCGCAGACCTCTTTACTCGGGTAGAGGGGGGGAGGGGTGAAAATCTCGAATCGACCGAAGAAAAGGCCATAATCCGGGGGGAGAGTGCTGTAATGCGCAAATGAAGCTTTTTGGAAACCTTCGCTGTTCTTCTATTCCATTTCGTTTAAATAGATGGAACGGTTCTCGTGAGCGCGCGTTTCCCGATACTCTTTGAAAGACAAGGAAGGAGCCTGCAGCTTTTTAAGGCTAGATAGGGTAGGGCAGAGGTAGATATTCTTTTCTTGTCGATAAGGGGACGGGGGCGTCTCTCCGCACTCGCGCTGTCTCGGATCAAAAGCCTTTTAACGCTTGTAGGGTAGATGGCGAAATGGGAAGGTCTGGATTGACGCGATTGGCAGCCCGAGTCCAAGAATAACGGATTGACCTATGACAAGAACTGAGATGGATTGATCTTGTGCTCAGAGAGAGTTTTCCAGTTCACACCAGTGCAACATTGCTCTTCCCCCTGCCCCCTACAGCAGGAAGTGTGGCAAGTGTGATACTGGTACAAGCAAGTCAGTAGGCAGGTCAACAGGTGCGCGAGATCACAAGTGGTACCGGTATGGTAGTAGCCGTGTCTCTCCACGAAAATGTCACGAAATGTCACGAAGTAAGAGGGAAAGCGGATTTGGGCGCGATGGATCAACTTACAGGTGCTCGCCGGAATCGTGGGCAAGTTAGGTACTGTATTCGAGTAATAATAATTTCAGATACCGGTTATTCTCGCTTCTTTTTGCAGTATACCCACCCCGGAGTCCCCTTTTATCCCTTATCCTTCCTTGCCTGGCCTGGACCTGGTTTGGGATTAATGGGGGAGAAGGCGCAAACCGGTATATCATCCCTGATACCGTATTGTACTCGTACTAGTACTTGTACGGGTATGGGTATCATACGGCGTATGATGGTTAGGTACGAGTACTATACTCGTACAGCAGCTGTTTCTTGACTGCAACTTTGCTTTTGCTTGCTAAGAGAGCGTTGGAAAAAGCGCGAGCTCTGAGTGGGCCAATTGCTCCTAATGTCACTCACGCCTTTGTGGCGCTGGTCGAAAGAGGAAATGAGTTCGAGTGGGAGGGAACTCGGATTGGACTGGACAACGCATCGTCCTTTTGGTCCTTCGGTATGGCACACAAGTATGGTAGGTAGCTGCTGAGCGTTAATCATATGCCCAACCCAACTTTGGTTCATTGGACCGGGAGAGCTCAAGTTAGCTGCCACAGACCAGGCGCCTCAGAGGCTCGTAACTGTGCAGTCGCTGTACGAGTACTGGTATGTACAGTACGGGGGTATTATACGGCAGTAGCAGCTTGGTACTGCATGTACGAACATATTGTAGTACCACACGGAAGCTCTAGCCAGCCAAAGAGATTTTGAAGACTTCAAGTGTCAGGAGAGGGCAAAGTCTGGAGAGTTAAGAAAAGAAAAACTTGCATGATCAGGTCGAGGTTGGATATGATACTATAGATTTATGGTTGGCCATCAAGTTAGATCTCTCGATGTAGCTTTTAGATTACCGGTAGTACGTCAGACTTGCCCCTCACTGCGAGAGTTCGAAGTTTGAAAACACTCGTGTTTGCTTGAAGCTTTCATACAGTACCTGTATCTTCACACCTCCCCTCCCCTCCAGAATGGTAATAATAATAGATAATTTTGATATATGTATCAGACAGTGTACCGGTAACGAGTTGTATTTCGCGTTATATTTCGCGAGAGACGGGCTACTATATCACCAAACGGAGTCCTTTGTTACCAGTTGCCCGCTTCCTTCTCTGCCCATTTTTTCCTTCTCGTTCTGTGCGCAACAGGGTACAAAAACACCCCTCCCCCCCACCACCACACCCCTCCACTCCCCTCATTCCTCACCCCCCCCCAGATCTAACTTACAGGTTATCGTGAATCCTCCACCTCTTTCGCGCGCAATACCATCGACTATTCTCTCCCTCCCTCCCTCTCCCTCTCTCTAATCGGATTTCTCCCTTACCCTTCGGACGATTATACGTACCCCCTCACCCTAACCTCACGGAACTACAAATACTGCTACCTTATTGCATTAGGCACCTGCATTTCTTTATTCTTTGGGTTTGCCGCCGGCATATTATAATATTTGTGGTTTGTGTGCCCTTACTCCTTTGCTCGTCGCTCTTGCTCCTTCAAGTCTCCACTTTTTTTCTTTTTTCTCCTTCTTTCCGCGCTGTCACTTGACATTCAAGAGGTGGGAGAAGGAGGACGTACACGCACAAAAAAAAGAAAGAAAGAGAAGGAGAAATGGAGGGAAAAGTCATTAGTCTCGAATAGCAAACTTACCGAGAAATTTTTCTTGTCTGGGACAGAAAGTCGCCGGGTTGTACCATACCCCATTTCATTCCGCTTGCTGAGTCACGTACCATTCTCGCGTCACGTACCCAGCGCCTCAACCCCCTTTTAGCATCCTTATCGCCAGAATTCCTCGACTCAACGCCCTCAGTCACGCGTTTTCCACGCGATTCTAGATTCAGACACCCTTCGCCTTTGATTCTCTGAAATTTTTGGCGCGGAAAAGTCATGTTTTCGACGCGTTTGCCCCCGTTAAAGATCCACAGAGATGCGCTCGGACCCTCGTCAGAACCCGGCTCGGCATCGACCCCAACCTTCCCCCCCTCGTCAGCTTCCTCTAACCCCTTACAACTCACCAACGGCAACTTGCAGCCCATAATGTTCCGCCCTCCCATTGTCGGTCCTTCAACATCCCCTTCTAAAAAGAAGCTTCACTCCAGACAGAACCAGGCCCTCAATAATCCAAAGCACTCGAGTCGCATCCCCTTACCCAAGCGTGTTCTCCAGAATACCTTTGACAGGATATCGATGCCTCCACCGGAACCCGACGCGTTCCCCACTGATTCCCCATTGAAAAAACCTCCAATCTCTGTATTCAATACTTCGTTCGCCCCGATGCCTGCTGCCCAGATGAGAAAAACCCAGGCTGCCTTCTTCACCAGTTTCTCGTCCTCCAAGGCGAGTTTCGGAAAGGAGAACGTGTCGCCTGAACCTAGATCTTCCGACGACGACAATCATGGTGGGAAGCCATTGACGGGTCTGAAGGCGGCCCCCCGACGGGCCTTGATGGAGGCAGCACCTATTAAGGAGAAGAAAGTTCTGCGGGAGAAGAGCATTTCACAAAACGCGTCTTCTTCGCCAGAAAAAGATGTGCCACTTGCCTGGGAACCTCCAGTTATCGTGGATGATGGAAGAAAACCGCCATACAGCTACGCTACACTCATCGGCATGGCCATCCTTCGAGCTCCGTCGCAAAGATTAACTCTCGCCCAGATATATAAATGGATCGCGGACACATTCCTATACTACCGAACATCGAATAATGGCTGGCAGAATAGCATCAGACACAATCTATCGCTCAACAAGGCATTCGTCAAGCAGGAGCGTCCTAAGGATGACCCCGGAAAGGGAAATTATTGGGTTGTTGGAAGTGGCTTCGAGCATCAGTTTATGAAGAACAAAAATTCACGCAAGTCCGGATCACACTCAAAGAAGGGTTCGGCTGCGTCCAAGGCCTTGATGCTGGAAGAGATGGAAAATTTGTCACACCCCGAACCTATTATCGAGATACATGTTGAGCATGCCGATTCCACCGAGCACGCTGGTAGTACAGATACAATTGAGGACAAGGAAGCGGCATTGGAAGAATTATTGACGTTGTCGTCCGATGCAACTAGGAGTGCTAGTCCTGAGCCACGACAAATGCCAGACGATGACGACGATGTGTTTCGACCATCTTCTCCCCACGGCAATGCTACAACACGATCATCTCCACCACCCCCTATCATGTGCTCTTCACCACCCGTCACCCGCAGCCAAGTCCAGCCACATCGTGATTCAACCCCCCCGTCCATGTTCCCGTCTACAAGCCGGAAGCGGAAAGCACCTCCCATGGGAGATAGTGGCTACTTTTCATCACTTGAATCATCGGTTGTACGGCCAACCATTGAGGAAGATAGGCCTAGGATCAAGCGGGGCCGGGCTGAGGAGGACATCGCCCGAATCAGGCATTCTTCACACGAAAGCCCCATCCGTAGGAATACAATTGGAGGGGGAATGAGTTTCCTAACCTCATCACCCATTCGGAACTACGACAATAACCCAATGCTCCCACCTCTTACCCCGGCGACCATGCTTCGTCCACGTAACCCACCAATGTCGGTTAGTCCGGCAACCAGTCTCCGAATCCACCGCGACCGTGTTAGGCAGCTCGTGAAGTCCCCGTCCCGGGACATTGGCGTCCTGGAGGACAATCCCTGGGGTGCCGCCTTCGCAGAGCTCACGTCCGGCAGCTCCGGCATGGAGAACGACAGCAGCGCACCGGACGATATCGAGACCATCGTTTCGAGAGCGTGCTTCGGATCTCCCGACAAGCGAGCGGACAAGAGGCGGGAGGTGCGGAGGAGTTATGATGGCGGATTACGCTCTGCGGACCTCCTCGGCGAGGGCTTCCTCGAGCCCCCGGACGTCTTCGGCGTGGACGTTTTCGGCGTCATGAAGAGTGGCTATGAGAAGTTTACTACTGATGGGTTCGGATCACCGTCGACGCCTGGGAGACCGGACCTGGGGAGGAGTCATACTACGGACTTTTGATAACATTATAACCTTTCCCGGTTGAAAAGTAGTTGGTATGTGTTTACGACCGAAACGACGGAATGTCTTCTGTTTGCAGCGGGTATTTTTGGGGCAAAAAAAAAAAGTAACATGGAGCGATTTCTTTTGTGTCCTTTTTTTCACTTCTCTTAACTTTTTATTATCCTTATTACTATTCCCTCTTCCTATTATTTCCATCTATTTTATCTGCTCTTATTCTTCCCCATTCATTCTACCCCCATTTTATCCCATTTCATCTTATGACGACCCTGACGACGCCATGACCAACAACGGGAGGCTAAGATAAGGCATCATCATCATCACATATCCATTCAGGCGTGCGTCTTCCTATTCTTTTCCTTTCTTCCCTCTCCCCTTCCTCTCCCATTTCTCCCTAAGGAAGGGGGAAAGAGAGTCCTGTAATCTTTTTCTCTTTTCCATTTTCATTCTCGTTATCTCCTGTTTCGTGGTTTATCAAATCCCGGGGTTCTTCGGTCTGGTGGGGGTGTTTTTCTCTTTCTGCTTCTCCTATCAATCTGTCTTTGTCTACCTGTCTGTGTCTGCCTGTATTTCTTTGTTGGGTTTTGTGATACTCGTTCCAACAATTGTTCTGTCCATTTGTCTGTCTGGGTGGCCCTCTGTTTATACCATTACCATTGTTCTGTCCTTATTTCACAGGCGAATACCCCTTCACCCTCTTTCTCTCTTCCCACTTGTGATTACTGCAGCCTCTTAACTGAACCTGTAATTTTCCTGCCCGTCGTGCGCCTTCTATGTGATTTATTTATTCCATCTTTCTACCCATCTGCGGAAAGATCATGCATGGAGGTTTTTTTTTTGGTTGTTTTGTTTTCTTGTTTTTATTTTTATTTATTTATTTGGTTGGCTTGGACCGGAACGGTTGGTATGGGGGGGTATGGTACGGTATGGGAAAGTGCATAGCGGGATTCGTGGTTTTTATTTTATCCATTTACCAAAGGTTTGTGTAGTGTCGTATTTATTTATTTATTTATTCCATCCATCCATCTCTTGCATGAATCGGCGGTAGCGGTAGCGAGTGATCGTGTATAACCCTTATACCTACCTACCCGACTCACTCGGCACTATCTACTACACTCGAAATTAAAATAATAACCACCAGTATGATAAGTAAGTATAGTTTGCAACCCAGCTGCCTGCCTACCATTCATCACGAACGAACGAACTCTTTCACCACTCCATTCCAATTCCACCCATCCATTCCAATTCCAGCAAGTATCATAGCCGGGTTAGGAATTTCCCTTCGTTCACTCACTCACTCGCTCGCTCGCTCGTTCATTGCGCACGTATCGGTTGATTGGAGGGAATTGGGAATCATTATGCGGTTGTGTTTTTGTTTTATTCTGTTTGAAATTGTGGGGTGATTTTTTGGGACTTGAATTTGAATCGGAATTGGAATTGAAATTGGAATGGGGTAGGTGGGTAGGGTGGGATTTGGATTGTGCGTTTTTTTTTTTTTTTTTTTTTTTAGGTGGAATTCCCGAGAGTTATGCGCAGTATGTGCTTTCGGGTGAAAAGAAATGTTGGTTGGTATGGAGGTGTGAATGTGAATATATATATATCTTTTTTTTTTTTTTTTTTTTTTTGGAAGGGAGGGAAAAAAAAAAAAAATAGAAGATGGTTTTGAGATCATGATCATTTCGAGACCAGCAATGTACCCAGCCTATCCTATCTTATCCTAAGAAAGGGTTACAAAAAGAGATATATATATAAAGAAAAAGGCTATAATACACAATACATTCCCCCCGCCATCCCCTCTCTCTAATCCCCAGAGGCACACCCCCGACACCCACAACTGACACACTCCACCACCTGCTCCTTCCCCAACCTAGCCTTCGGCACGCGACAAATGCACGTAGCATTAAAGTTATTTTCCTTGGCCTGTATGCAGCGCAGACAGCACAACTTCTCGTACCCCTGTTTCTTCCACTTGGCGATGAGGTTCGCGTCGCCGTAGCCGTTCTTCAGCAGCCAGTTGTAGAGGTCCTTATTTATGGCCTCCTTGTCGTAGTAGAGGTCGTATATGTAGCGTGAGCGCTGGTGCGAGATCTGGAAGATGGCCCAGGTGCTCTCGTTTTTGCGTTTGCCCTCGTGGGGGGCGTTTTCCGCTGATTATGTTAGCTGAGGCGGTAGATGGGGAAGGGGGGAGGGGGTTTACCATCTTTCATTTTGTTGGCGAATTCTAGTAGGGTGTCTTCGATGTCGTCGAAACCCTCTGGGGGTGGTTTACGGTTTCGACTGGTGCGGATTGGGGGCATGATTCTTTGGTTCCGGGTATTTTTTATTTTTATTTTTAGAGTAGATGAAGGTGGGTAACTGTGTCGGTTGAGTGGGAGCTCAACGGAGGAAGAGGTGGTAGTGGTGGTGGTGGCGGCAAGTTGCCCGTTGATGTGTTGACAGCGAGGTGGTTGAGTTGCAGTGAGGTTGGATGGAGGAGGCGAGGCGTCGGAGTTTAGAGCCTCAAGCTCTTTTTTTTTTGCTTTTTGCCTGAGTAGTGAACCTTGCGGTTTACAGTGCAATATGACGCAGGTTCTTGGACCGGTATCGTACTATGATACCCGTACTATATTCGCAACGGGGATATTTGAAAGTTTACAGGGAGAGTTTGCTTTCTTCGTGTTCGAAACATGAAGATCTATAGCAGGAGAAGAAGAGAGGGAAAAAAAAAGAGGACAAAAGAGGAAAAGAAGCAATTTTTTCTTAACCGCGAAATATGACGGACTAAACAGCTAGAAACCCTAAGAGAGTCATAGACATCCTCTAAGGGCTGATAACCTTTTTGGCCCTCTCCCTTAGAGCCTTCACCAACTCATCAATGGCCTCCATATCATCCGCCCGATACTCGTGCCTCCCCTTCTCCAGTATCTCCTCCGGTAACAAGTCAACAGCGGCCTTCAACGACTCCTCTTCATTTCTAATCTGACTGCTAAGCGCATAAACCGCCTTGGTCCTAACCCTCTCCTCCGGATCTCTAAGCACTAGATCAACAATCTTTGCCACACCCCCATGCTTGAGCATGACGGCCTGAGACTTTGGGTTGTTCTGGACGGCGGTCCCGATGCACCAGGCCGCCATGAAGCGGAGCTGCTGCTCTGGTACCGATAACTGCGCGATCAAGGGAGGCCAGAGGTTGAGGTTCTCGAGATTGTTGGCGTTGTCCAAGTTCTCGACAAGCATTTCGAGGTTGTCGAAAGCGATTTCTTTATTTTCGAGGGTGACTTCGGGGTCCTGGATTGCTTCCAGCGCCTCGCGCATGAGGACGCTGTCGTCTTTGACATTTGCGCCGAAGAGTTGGGCTAAGAGCGCTGGGTCCTGGTTTTTATCATAGTTAGCGTATGAATTTTGTGAGGGTATGGGAAAAATCGGAAGTACCAGTTTGGCTCTTCTGTTTTCTGCGTTCGGGTCGTCGGAAGGAACCGAATTCTCGATTCCCCACGAAAGGAGCTTAGCCATGTCCGACATGGTGAAGGCGGTGTGGAGAAGTAGACTGGAGTGGTTCGAATATTGGGTATTTCAGGGTTTAGTGGGGTTGTTGAGTGGAAGGCGCTTGTGGATGAGGGTTGGGATATCAAGAAAAGCTGTTATCCCAGTCCAGTGACGACGCAAATTAAAAGCCACTAGAAGCCAGTGGACCTCCAAAGAATATTTTCGAAAGCGTATTTACGGTGTTTGAATTTGTAACGGGCTCTATATCCCAGTGGTACTATAGTGCTAAGTTCCTGGGCCTGGGTAGTTAGCAGCCCGAGCCACCCGAGTTTGTGTTTTCTTTGGTACGATAATATTATTATGATAACCCCGCCAGCTTGGTTGTTTCCCTCCCTTGCCCCCACCAGGACGATTCGGGAGAGCCAACTAAACCCTAACCCATGATCATATAATATCACTCGGATAGTACCCTTTTGGAGTGGGAGAAATCCAGAGTTGGCCGAGCATAAAGTATCGTATAAGATGGATTTGATTAACTCCATCCGCAGCCCTAGTGCCGGAGAAACGGAGTTAACCCATTATCATACATAATATTATTTGGTCGCTATCACCTTGCCTGCGCAGTGAAGGCGCTGACAGCGTAGGGAACGAAAAGGAAAAACGAATGGTTTGGCGCCAACTGATGCCCGTGCTTTAGGAGCCAAAGACGGGACAGTTCTGAGATCGGAGCGTACTAAAAGATATTGTGCCAGTGGGAAGCCAGTACTTATTACGGTGGATTCGAGGATGGATGTGAGTTTATCCTCCTCGGAAATGCGAGAATATCATGTTGGCTCTTCCTAGAAAGATCCATATTTTTGTGGAAGCGTGGCTGCCTAACCTTGCTCCAGAAAGTACTTGGGCAGGTGTCTTGAGTTTGTTTGTTTTTTTGTTTTTTTTGGCTTGAGGTGTGGTGGTTATGTGCGATGCTTGGAATTCCAGGTGCGTTGTACGATTCGGATCCGGTGACTTTCCCACATGCTGAGGCAGTAAACAAGTAATAAAAGGACCTTGTTGTGCGATAACACACTACTATATGCTGCAATGGAGTATATCATGTCCCGAGCTTTCCCAATTAGAAAGGGGCCTGCACCCTCGGGGCCAGCTGGAAAAGGAGCATAAGACCGGAACCCGTTTTCTCCTCAAGGGGCCAGTGCTGCAATGCTATCACAGTGATAGCTTTCTCCAGCGAGCTTAGGGTACATGTATCACATACTTTTTTTTCGCAACCCACTAGCTGCGCGGGCACTTTTACCTTTACCCTAGCACTCGCCTGTTGGGCCAACCAGGAGCTGTCGTGAGTAGGGATATGGGATCCTCGTGAGCTATTTCAAGGGGGGCGTTTCTCAGGCAAAACTTCACCGACGTGACAAAAGTGCCATTTGACAGGCTTTAGCTGCTAGATATAGAAATATTCCTGCAGAGAGTGATGATCGATCCCTGGTTCTAGAGGTATGCAGGGTGAAGTGTCTAGGTTTCTGTTTATAACATCCAGGATGAGCAGGATGGCGGCGAGTCAGTAGTGCCATGTGGAACCAGAGGGTGGGGATAGGCTGCTTGTCTGATAGGGAGGGGTATCATAAACAAGAAAAGCTCCCCGTTCAGGGGGCTGGGGTCGTGGATTTTGGGAGTTTGGAAGAGAAAGGCTGGTCTTGGATAGGGTCAGTTCCTGCGCTTGCCTCCGAATAAAGGTTTTTGTGATTTGGGGTGATCCTGCGTGAGGGAAAGTGTCGAAAGGGTCCAGGTCAGGACTTGGATGGACCCGGTGTCCTATAGCTTAAGGTGAGAACGGGTGGTCATGGTGGGGAAGGTAAGAAGGGTGAGTTTATCATCCTTGTTAACACTGTGGGCTGCTCACGAATCGCAAAAAGAGATCCCTTAATTACTGGTCTTGGAAGCCACAGAGTCTGTAAAAATTGTGTATCTGAGTTGCGGCTTGCGCGCGAGCGGGGTTTCAATGATGGTGTGAATAGGGGCGAAGAACTCACCCTTCTCACCTCGCGAAAAGCAAATCGCTGGTCTGCTTATTTGTAATACCCAATTCTGTTTAAGCTATGGCTGTCTAGTCAAACATTGCCCTCAAAGTTTTTCTCCCTGGCTTCCACGACACGACTATTTTAACCGTTTTTAGCGGGGTTGTTCCCTCCCCCTCTTTTTCCGTCAACGATTAACATACTGTTGCGGCCTATGATGATCATGCACTATCACTCGGTATATGTCATATTCTGAACCTCGTCATTCGGAGTACGTGTGCTTCGGGTTTAGAAGCCAAACGGCCACGATAAAGCGGAAGGAAGATAGACTTTGCAATGATCCTGGAGCTCTTGGCTTCTCGGGAGAAAAGGCAGTCGTCGTAACTCCACCCTCCGTTGCGAACCTCCAAACAAAGGAAATGGAGGCAGAACCCCTAACCCGCAGTAGGCCTCTTGATTGACATCACGGACTCCTGGTATAGTACGGTATCGGTAGGCGGCGTCCCGTCGGGTGACTACTTTACTGCCAAGTCTTTTCTATGACAGCTCCTTTCCTCTAAAAAACGTCTAGGTTTCGTTTTCAATGGTGCTGACGTTTGGTGTCTCTTAAGCTAAGAGAGTTTGCGCGATGCCTGGTTTAACCCGTGTGTTTACTGGGTGACCAAGAGATTACCGAGCCACCGGTATTGTAGTGAGCGGTAGATATGATATAAGTCGGGCCATCATCACTGAAACATTTATGTATACGACTCCCAAGGCTCCATGTGTGACAAAACAAATCTTATGTTGGTGCCTTCGTAAGCTATGGGAACCCCAAGCCTTCGTCTTCGTCTTCAACTGGAGATGGAGGGTAAAATTACTTATCGGGAGCAGCGTGATGGTAGCCGCGTAACGAGTGCTCTTGGAAGTTACGACACAGCTAAATAGGGGGCTTTTTGGCGGGTCCTTTGACCCATCTTATAGCCGTACCATTCCCAGCTCAACCAATGTATGATGTATGACCCAATGCCAAGAGAGTTGGAACCGTTGAGGCTGGAAGGGCCGTTATTATGTCTCTTGGTATTGAGACTTGAGGAGTGTACTACGCTGGTGGTGTCGGCCGGTGTCACCGAGCATCCTTTCACATTGAAAACCTTTTAGGTCAGGTCGACGGCACTGCATTCATACTGTACAGTACAGTACATCGCTGGCCTGGCGGAATGGCGGCGCTTCGGCCATAGGATTTAAAAATAGTGGAGGTGGCGGCGGATGCTGACCAGTCAGGGTTGCGCGTCAGCACTTGGACATGGCGGTCTTGAGCCTGAAGAAGAAATTTGTATGCCCTTTCCAGCGACTCTAATTCCCTAGTCGTTATGCCAAGACATTGGTGCCAAGGATATAGGGTCTTTTTTGGGACGACAGGGGTTGCGAGCGTCGTGGGCGGTGGGTTGTGTGTGTGGCCCTTCTCCTCCTCTTTCCTTTCTCCTTTCTCTTTCCCTCTTGTCAACACTTTCATCCATCTACAAAAGCCTTCCATCCGCCCGCTTCATCTTGGAGTAGGCAGACCCCCTGTTACTTTAAAGTCCTCCCTCGAGCTTATCACGTCTTACGAATTCCTTAGCCTTTTTTATCAACTAGACCTTTCTTAACAACCGCCATGGAAGGTCAGTAAATATTCCCCCGAAATGCTCCTTTTTCTCTCAACCTCCATACCCTGGAAACGCTTGCTTTTGCCAAAGGGCCATTATTGCTAACTAACTACCTTCCCGTTCTACAGACGAAGTTGCCGCCGTATGTTTGCTCCTTGTCTGACTCTTCCCAGGAAGCTTGAAGTGGGGTTGTTGCGTTGAGGTATGGGAATGTAGCTAACGTCACAATCTAAAACTCTCAGCTCGTTATTGACAATGGGTAAGCAATTCTTTATGACCGGTAAACTCAGCCACGGTTTTATACTGATAACTCTTGATAGATCTGGTATGTGTAAAGCCGGTTTCGCCGGAGATGATGCTCCCAGAGCCGTTTTTCGTAAGTACCTTTATCTAGATATCTTGATTTGGGGACCATTTAGTGCCCCGCTATTTATTGTCGGCTCGGGATTACTGACATGTTTATAGCCTCCATTGTTGGACGTCCTCGTCATCATGGGTATGGTTTTCCCAATTTCCGGGCTTCTTGTTTTGCTTTTTTTTTTTCTGGCCCCGATGCCCCGCGATCACGGGATATCCCCACCAAAAAATTTTTGCGCGAAAATTGGGGATAATTGCTGACAAGAATTTTTGTTATGTTTCAGCATCATGATTGGTATGGGTCAAAAGGACTCCTATGTTGGAGATGAGGCTCAGTCCAAGCGTGGTATCCTGACTCTAAGATATCCCATTGAGCACGGTGTCGTGACAAACTGGGACGACATGGAGAAGATCTGGCATCACACCTTCTACAACGAGTTGAGAGTGGCGCCAGAGGAGCACCCTGTCCTTTTGACCGAAGCTCCTATCAACCCCAAGTCCAATCGCGAGAAGATGACTCAGATTGTTTTCGAAACCTTTAATGCACCTGCCTTCTACGTCTCTATCCAGGCCGTGCTTTCCCTGTATGCTTCTGGTCGTACTACTGGTATCGTTTTGGATTCCGGTGATGGTGTCACCCATGTTGTCCCCATCTATGAAGGGTTTGCGCTCCCGCACGCCATCTCTCGTGTCGACATGGCTGGACGTGATCTTACCGACCACCTGATGAAGATTCTTGCTGAGCGTGGCTATACTTTCAACACCACTGCGGAACGTGAGATTGTTCGTGACATCAAGGAGAAGCTTTGCTATGTTGCTCTTGACTTTGAGCAGGAGATCCAGACTGCCTCTCAGTCGTCTAGCTTGGAGAAGTCTTACGAGCTTCCCGACGGACAGGTTATCACCATTGGTAACGAGCGGTTCCGTGCTCCTGAGGCCCTTTTCCAGCCTTCAGTTCTCGGTCTTGAGTCTGGTGGTATCCACGTGACCACCTTCAACTCCATCATGAAGTGTGACGTCGATGTGCGTAAGGATCTCTATGGAAATATTGTCATGTCTGGTGGTACTACTATGTACCCTGGTATTGCCGACCGTATGCAGAAGGAGATTACATCCCTTGCTCCTTCCTCAATGAAGGTCAAGATCATTGCTCCACCAGAGAGAAAATACTGTAGGTTTTTTATCATCATGTATTGAAGACTACCTGTCTAATTTTTAATAGCTGTCTGGATCGGAGGATCTATCCTTGCATCCCTCTCCACCTTCCAGCAAATGTGGATCTCAAAGCAAGAGTACGACGAGAGCGGACCTTCTATCGTCCACCGCAAGTATGTTCACAATGCTTTCCTCAAACCCTTATTGTAGACCGATACGCTGACACATTCTAGGTGCTTCTAAACAAAGAAATTTCGGACCGGTCGGTTACAAATTCAAGGTTGTTGGAAGGTCAATATCTTAATACAGTTGCCAAGGAGAATGGGTGGATGGTTTTCATTTTTTTTTTTCAACTATGGAGGCTTGTTTTAAGATGGGGGTAGCAAAATGGCGGGAGTAGTCGGGAGAAAAATCGAAAAGTTGCTATGCAAAGGCTTTTCAATTTTTTGTGCATTTTTTCGAGCGGACCGCGTCCGGTTTTTTTGTTTTGCTATGATGTGAATTGCTTGTTGTAACGGAATAAAGTGCGATGTCAGTGGTGCTGTACGGAAGCCGAGCGTTGTTGGGACATTCGTGGTGTCCATCTTATTTCCTGACCCTATTCCTTTCTTCTTTTTCTGATAGTGTTTGGCCGTGTTATTCCGTATTTACGATGTTCCGTAGTTTTAAATGTTTTCAAAACAAGGTACTTCCTATTACTGCTCCACCACTTTCTCCTCCAGGGTGTAATCCACGTGTATAAGAGGTGATTTAACGTGTGCAATATCTGAGCACTATTGGTTCGTTGGTCTCAGATCTCATGGTCCCCAGGTTCAATTGTGGTCTCTGTCCAATGTGGCGCTATCGCATGCTCAATGGTGGCTGAAGGCGCAGAGTGCGCATTTACAATATCGCATACTGGTAGAATACCAGCACGGCCTATTATCAAATCTGATGGAAACACATGGCCCCCGGTCCTGATCAAAGCTGGGATACCGGTATGGAATGATTGAGCGAGTGATGCCACATGACAGTCCCACGTGGAAATAGCAATGGCTGACATAATCCTATGATCTTACATGACCTACATCATCTCGTTGCCTGCATCTTCCCTCTTACCTTCCTCGTAACTATCCTTTGTCTCGAGAGTATCGCAATTACATGGTACCTCTGTCGCTATGATATCATTCATAGACTATCGTGAGTCTTCTTTTCCTCTCCTTGTTCAGCCTGCTTTTACTTTTCTGCAATTTTCTGACCTTTTTCTTAGCTTTCATTTGGCTGGAAGGTGCCACGGGTGCGGCCAAGGACGAATGTATGCCTCAGATCTCCCCCAACTTTTTTGATCTCTCTAACATAATGGCGAAACTGTAGTGAAGCTTATTTTTACCATTTTATTGTCCTACCCGTTCGCTGGCGTACTCAAACGGTTACCTGATGCGGAGCCTGCGAAGAAGAACCTGTTTATGATTGGGTATGGGGTTCCACTGACTAGGGTTGCCGAAGAGAGGGACAGTCACTAATAGGTGGTGGATTGGACGAATAGAGTTTCGTTGTTTTACATGGTTGGGGTTTTCAATTTATGGGGTGGACTGCGGACTCTTAGTGTTAGCGCGGGCGGAGCGTATGCTATTGCGAAATTTGTTCAAGGACCGTATATGCCATGGATCGCTTTCGTGTACTTGATGGCGCACATGCTCATTTCGCATATCGAGCGGGAATTGCACGGGATTCCCGGAGTTGTGGATGTTACTGGCGCGCAAATGGTCATGGTCATGAAGGTTGGTTGACCGGGACCTGGAGAATTTTGGAGGAGTGCATGGACTCACGGCATCGGTGTTCTAGTTAACGGCGTTCTGTTGGTCAGTGCATGATGGCCGATTGCCCGAGAAAGTATGAATTGTTTGTTTCTGCCAACGGCTCGCTCCGCTTAGAAATTGACCCTTGTGATTTTAGGATTTATCGGCCTTTCAGAAAGATCGAGCCCTTCCGGTGATGCCCAGTATCCTCGACTACATTGCATATGTGGTGAGTTTTGTCATTGAGCTGCTCTTTATCACTGGTATTAAATTTGCGGGTAGCTGTTTTTCCCGTCTTTGTTCGCCGGACCCGCATTCGATTTTGCGGAATATCAAAGGTGGATTGATTGCACCATGTTTGACGTTGTAAGTCCTGGCGCAACCAAGGGCAGCACAAAGCGGAAGAGAAAAATCCCAAAGAGCCATCGTCCGGCGATTTGGAAAGCTATTTGTGGGTTGGGCTGGATCGCTGCTTTTATGAAGTTTTCTAGCTGGTACAAGACCGGGTTTGTTCTCGACGACGGATTTTTGCGGTATTCGGTTCTGAGAAGGTAATTGTGCTTTCTTCCAAATTACGGTGAACCAGAAACTGATTACACCCGCAGGGTTTGGTATATATACGCTTTGGGTTTCACCGAACGTCTCAAATACTATGGCGTTTGGTCCCTGACTGAGGGCGCTTGCATACTCTCCGGTTTGGGGTACAATGGCCTCGATGAGAACAAGAGGCCTCGCTGGGACCGTTTGACAAATGTTGACCCTTGGGCACTCGAGACAGCGGAGAATACAAGGGCTTACCTTGAGTCCTGGAATATGAACACGAACAAATGGTTAAAGAACTATGTGTATCTGAGAGTGACACCAAGAGGAAAGAAACCGGGATTTAGAAGCTCTTTAGTTACCTTTGGGACATCAGGTACGAAGAGTTTCTAAGAATTCATCCGAGAGGCCGAGCTAATCTATACGCAGCCATTTGGCATGGCATCTCTCCTGGGTATTACCTCACCTTCTTGACGGCATCATTTGTCCAGACGGTCGCTAAATGTATGTGTTACTTGCCCTACTAATGGTAGGCTATTCGATTGATAACGGTCTCGCATGCAGATTTCCGGCGTCACATTAGACCCTTCTTCGTGGAACCGGACGGAAAGACACCCGGTAGGTATAAGAGGGCGTATGACATCTTCGGTCTTTTAGCGACACAAATTGGGTTTTCCTACATCGTCGCGCCATTTATCATCCTGGACTTTAAGAACTCCCTCATAGTCTGGGGCCGACTTAAGGTTAGTGAAATTGCGCTTATTCGTCCCATGAATTCTTATATGACGACGATCTTATTCTATTTTATAGTTCTTTGTTCATATTGGCATCCTCCTCTCCATGCTATTCTTCAATTCGTCCGGAAAGTCTTGGCTCAGTCAGAAGTTGAAGGCGAGGGTTGGAAGGGCTGCCAGTTCTGAAGGTTTGCACAAATCGCCAAGTGCTAGCGATTTCCGTGGAGGCGCACTCGGCCTTCTAGATCCTATGAAAGAGATTGAGGATATGCAACGAGAATTATTGGCGAAGGAGGAAGAGGTGATGAATAGGAGGAACTCAATGAACACCACGAGCAAGAATAAATAACCCCTAGCTAATCTTCCCTTAGTAGAGAAGGTATCATAGCTAAAGCTGGAGGTGTATCCGAGGTGCAGCGTTGACCCCCCTCTTTTTTTTTGCTCTCCCTACTGGGCGTTCATTCGCCTGCTAAATACTTTGTTGTAAATAAAAGGAAGTTGGAGTTGGGTTGACACATTCTGCATTCGATGACGGATCGTGTTTTTTTGGCGGGAATAGAGTAGAATTAGGATTGGGCATTAGTACTACATTTTTTGAGTATAATATGTATTGTATTCTGGGTGAGAGAAATTGCAGATATAGACTTGAGCACGATGTTCCGTTGTGTTACTAGTAAGTCGGGGCCGATTTCGTAAATTAGATCATTATCTCAGTTGGAGAGTCTGATATGATACCGGTAGTTTGCTGGAATTATCCAATAATTACATTAGAGACCAATTAGGTTTGGCTGGGGGACCCCGCATTCCTCTTTATCGATCAACTAACTTTATGCGTATAAGGTAATATTTCCCCGCCCAGGGTTCCGGGTGCTCGGGTAAGTTATCGAGCTTCCTAACTGCACGTGCTCTGTTTGAGTTACAACGAGCCCATGACTGGAGTAGGATATAATAAGATTTCTCTCTCCATCTCGTCTCAACGAACCACAAACAACCTCGCAAGAATTGAGAAACGAGGAAAACTGCCACCAATATGTCAAAAGAACTCAGCTACCCAAAGACACCAGCCAACAAAGTCAACAGGTACAGCAACAGAGGTATCATATCCCCTTCTTCATCCCCTGTATATCAAGAACCAACCGACAACCACTAACATCCCCCCCAATCAACCAAAAGCCCACTACGACACAACCACAATCCACAACATAATAAACACAACCCCAGTCCTGCACGTCTCCTTCCTAACCCCCAGCGACGCCAGCGACGCAAGCTCACCCCCGCATCCGACAATCCTACCAATGCTCGGCCAAATGGGCTCCTTCACGCACCCAAGCTCCGACGAGTCCGACGCACTGGACTGCTACCTGCACGGCTACACCTCCAGCCGACTGCAAAACCTCACCCGGAGCAGCAGCAGCAGCAACAGCGGTGGCATGCCCATCTGCGTAGCGGCCACAAAACTCGACGGGCTCGTCCTCTCGCTGACGCCGAATTCGCACTCGTGCAATTACCGCTCCGCCATCCTGCACGGCACGGCCACGATGGTGGAGGACGTGGAGGAGAAGATCTACGCCATGCGCCTCATCACCGAGGGCATGCTCCCGGGGCGCTGGCAGGGGACGCGCGTGCCGCCGGACGAGACGGAGTTGAGGAGTACGGGCGTGTTGAAGGTGGTTGTTAGCAGCGCTAGCGCCAAGGTCAGGAGTGGCGGCCCCAGCGATGAGAGCAAAGATGTGGAGAGAGCGGAGGTCACGGGGAGGGTGTGGACGGGCGTGGTTCCGGTCTGGGAGATGATGGGGTGTCCTGTCCCTGCTGGGGAGGGGGTTGGTGGACAGGCGCCTGGGTATGTTGCTGAGTACGTTGAGGGGAGGAATGGGAGGGAGAAGGGGTACGCAGAGGGGGCTGCTGCTGGGAGAGTGGATGGGGGTAGTTAGGGAGGGGGTGTTGGGTATGTGATTTTTTGAGGGCGGGGTTTTGGGAACTTGCTTGGGAGGGTTGTTTTGGTCTGCTTTATATCGGTCACCATGCTTGTGGGTTCGCTGCAAGTAATTAGATGCTCTAATTTTACAGGTATCATAGGTTGAAAGTGCAATTCCTATCGAGTGATTCTGTATGAACATGCAAGTTACGACTCCATTTTGCATCTACCGTGCGACGAGGGTGCTGGGTGGGATATAGTACGGCTCGGAGTTTACCCTTCCGGTATTTCAGAAGTGCTACTTGAAGAATATTATTATTATTATAGAGTGATCATCCCCCATCACTCCAATTCTAACTTGACGAGCAAAAAGAAAAGAAAAACAAGACAAAACAAAATAGGAGAAAATTAATCCAACGCCCCCCAATTTACCGATACTTCCCCGATCCTCACAAGTATACCACAATATTGAACTCTATCTACTCCAACCCCACCCTTCCAACCAAAACCAACACCCCACCCAACAGCAGGTTAGCACCCAAGTGCCAAACAACCCACACCATGGCAAACAAATACTTTGGCGAGAACACGGTCCAAATGAACAAGTGCGTCCTTAGCACCGTGCAAGCCAACATGACGGCGCCCGTCGCAGCGCAGCAAAAGAGACTAAGGCACATCAAATGCCTTGTCAACCCCGCGCCGTCCTCGCGCTTGCGCGCGGCGATGGTGATGGCGACTGTAGCGGCGGAGCTACAGTATATGGGGCCGATCCAGTTCGATACAAAAGTTAGGAAAGCTACGATCGCTATGGAGTAGCCAGATACGCCGTTGTAGGAGTTTGATAGGTCCACCGAGGAAATGGCGTTTGCGCCGCCGTAGGCGAAGAAAGCGAAGTGGGAGAGGATTAGTGTTGAGAGGGTTAGGTCTGTGGAGGTTAGGGAGGAGGAGGAGGAGAGCAGGCGAATTGTTAGGGTTAGTAGGTAGAGGAGCGGGATGTTTAGGAGTTTGGTTTGTGTGGCTAGGAAGATTGGGAGGAGGGTTAGAAGGATTGTTGAAATTGTGTGGGTTACTGGAGGGGGAGTTATGTTAGTGGCTGTTTGGTATAATGGGGGAGGGGAGGGGAAGGGGGGCTACCATTTGGACCCTTCTTTCGGGTTTCGAAGAGGATTGTGTAGAGGATTATTGTGCCAAGAGATATGAAGGTTGTTCGAGCGAGGCTTATTAGTGACAAATCTAGTTCTTCAGTATACAACACTAAAGGTTTTAGCCAGTCCGCTATCAAGTCCGGCGTGTCCTGCGCCGCGAAGCAAAGCTTAAACGTGAGTGCTGCGCCGATGGTTGAGAATCCAAATATGAACCCAGCGGCTCGGCCAGGGATATTTCGGAACGTGTTCTTGACGATACGGCCGAACATATCGGTATACGTGAACAGCACAAGGAACCAGAGCAAATTCACTTTCTCCGACAGGAAGTCCTTGGTAATATCTGATGCCCCAGCATGTTTCTGCCCCGTTTGATTCCAGCGACGGGCAACCCTGAGCATCGGAATTATGAGGAATATGCGGAATGCATCGCTGTTGCTAGTTCGCTGGCTATTCACCTTTTGTAAGCTTTGGCCATTGTCCAGGGAGAGCGTGGGTACATACACTTTCAAGAACAAAAGGAAGAGCCACCCCGATGCTACCCAGTACCAGAAGTTGTGCTCTTCTTCAACGTAGCTACTGGCAAACATCATGACGACGTAGGTCGCCGTCGTTGCGAAAAACATCACGTTGGCGAGCCGGGACCTCTCCAGGATTGGGACAAGGCCGATTAACGAACATAGGAGCCCGAGCAAGACGAATGCTATACCTGTGGCCATCAGAGTGAGGTCGTAATCGCTCGAAGCTGATGAGAGGACGTCTTGACATTTGGCAGAGAACTTCCGGCGCATGAGCACATGCACCTGTATGAGAGATAGAGCATTATCGTACCTTCAGGAGTGAGACCAAAGCAACTTCTGGATTTTCTTTCCCTTCGGTGAAATACCGGGAGGAAACGGATTCGTTCCAGAGACAAGCCAATCCATCTACATCGTCTCTAACGTCTATGCAATCAATAGGGCCGACATTTCGGCTGTCAAAGTCTGTGTGGGCAGCCTTGACAATGGTAAGCAATTGCTTAGCATTTGCCAATGCTAGCGATATCCTATCCTCCACTTTAGTCATGTCAGTCTTTTCTTCGATCACACCGACTAGCGGGGAAAGCACTGGGATAGATTGGAAGTGTCATGAATACTTGTATTGCTGATCCAGAACTTTTATCGTGCCCCAATACTTTCCCACTAACCTGGGCATCCCCGGGGCGCCTAACGTACCATTCCACATGTGCAGAAGAGAAGGTATCAACACCCCCAAATTATTTCTCGGGACCGGGAATCCCAATAGGCCTGCCAATGAGGGAACAAAATCATTCTGCTCTACGGTTGTATAGTAATCGAACCCCTCCCTAAATTCAGCCGGGCATTTCATCCCGCTGAAGCTCTTCTTGAACTTTGGTGACATGAAAACTAGAGCTGGCGACGTTTCACCGAGCCCAGAGCCACCATGATTGCCCGCATCGTTCATTCCATGATCACCAGCCAACACGAACAGGGCGTTCTTCAAGTGCTCCCTTTCCTCAATAGCGGTGAATATCCTCCTAACTATTCCATCCATCTCTTGTTGCTTGGGGATCATATTCGGGCTTTCGGGCCCCGCTTTGTGTCCAATGTGGTCCACCCCAAGATAATGCATAATCATACCCTCCCAGTCATCCCTCTGTAGCTCATTATCGATGTGCCTCGTAACGTTGTTGTCTACTTCGGTGAAGTCTGACACGAAGAAGCTAGACGTGGGATCCGACCTGGTGAACATACCGGGGAAGAGCTTGGCCCAAGTGTCATCGCCGTACATGACCAACTTGCCCCCACGATTCACAATCTGCGCTAACCAGTTGTCCTGAGACGCCAGGGTAACGGCGGATTCAGACTCAGCAAAGTTGAGTATTACGTCCAAGAAACCAGGGACTGAGCCGGTAGTGAGCCCCTTCACGCGAGGCATAGTGATAGTCGGTGAAGTAGCGTGTGCCGTAAATGGAATTGCGGAGCCGGAAGATATCAGACTAGCCAAGCGTTACCTCCCATATCCCATGAAAGCTTAAGCAAACTTAACCTCCCGAGAGCGCGCCATACCTCTGCGTAAACCCAAAGCCCGACTCCTCCGAAAAGACAAAGTCACTGATAGTGAGACACTTTAGCTCTGGTCTCGGGATGGTGAAGCTTGGTTTAAGGCAGTATACCTCCTCAGCGCATCAACAACCATGAAAACCACCCTGTCGAACATCTTCGGCGCGCTGCTAACCCCGCCATCGAATTCCGCGAGTCCTGGCAGGAAGGGCTTATAGGGGAAGAACCCCTTCGCAAACAGTAGTAACCCAGCGGGAAGTAGTAGGTTTGTGACCACCAGAAGTAGCCATGACATCGAGGCTTTCATGGCCAGTTATTCCGTCGTAATTTTCTCGCGTTAGGCGTCTGCCAGTGCTCTAGCAGTGGGGAGGCTGACTTGAGGGTTGAACCCATTCGAGTACAAAGAAGGGAATTTGTGAACACTTGGCGCGTTAGGGTTGTTCCTGGAACGCCAAGTGTAAAGGAAAAGGGGGGTAATGTTGGATTACCATATTTGGACTGGTCTGGTTGGAGGCTCAATATTGGGAGGATTTTCCTCTGAGCATTTCTGTACTTGTATGATAAACACCAGACATCCCCGCCGCCGCTGCTGCACCAAAGATAAAACCACCTTCAACATTTACAGGATCATCGCTGCGCGAGCCGCTAATACAAGCCTCCTCGAGGATTCGCAACCCAAGAGATCTGGAATGGACTCCAAAGCTAAAGATATCTTGGATGGAATGGAGGAGGACGGCAACGAACTTACCACCCCGGATGAGGGACTAAGTGATATCCGTATCATGACTGTAAGACACCCCGGGGTTCCTGAACTCTTGTGGCGTGACTAAAGCCTTGAATCTCAGCTCCCAGGAGAAGAGGAGGGTTCCGCTTCATTTGAGATTCTCGGTGAAGACCATACACTCGGGAATGCGCTACGATACATAATTATGAAAAAGTATGTCAGAAACCTTCAACCTTTGAGCCGTCCTGGGATGGGTGTTAGCTCACGAACTGAATAGCCCCGAAGTCGAGTTCTGCGGATACTCAATCCCACATCCTTCCGAGGAAAAGATGAATATCCGTATACAAATCTATCGTACGCCCTGTCCTTGGAATCATATCGCGAAATATCTGTTGACCATCTACTGCAGCTGAGTATTGGGAACACACAAAACCTTACGATGCGTTGATGAAGGGATTGGACGACCTTGCTGACCTCTGCGACCATATTACGCACGCGTTCAAAGAGGCCAGAGATAACTTTGTAGAACCTGGGGACAACAGTGAACAAAGATGACGGAGGAGTGTCCATTTGGGCAACCAAAAGTCTCTTGTATAATTTCACGGCGCACTGGTTTAATGTACTTTTTCTTATATGTATCTTCATGTTATATTTCTATTGTAAAAGATATACATTAGCGGACGAAGCGGGGAAGCAAATCAAAGCACCCACAATACCCGCCCGGCATTGGCCATATAAAAGGTGTGTGGTTAATTGCGCCCCTGCCAAATATGTTAGCACCGCCATCAGTAAAATCCAACCGGATGCATACCTCCAAGAAGTTATTCATAAAGTTCGAAGATAACCTGGTCCTTGGGTCTTCTTCTGTCCTGAAGTACCTAACCACCCCACCATATATCGTCAGCATGTACAACCCCCGCATCGCACGGCGCACGAGCGGTGCAGCTCACTTCATAATGTGCGGGATCTGCTTCCAGTAATTCATCGTCTCCTGCAATTCCATGTTGCTCTTCGTGATGAGCACATCCACCACCGGCAACTGCTGCACATAGCGATGCCGCTCAAACTCCTGTCGAATCTTCGCACGGATAGCCGAGGCCGGAAGGTGGAGCAGGTACTGCTTTACGATCTCTGGGGCCTAGTCCGGGGTCAGCCAGGCCAATGTTGGCTATGGAGGGAGGTAGTAGTACAGCTCGCTGCCAGCTCCGATAAGATTTTATTACTCGAGAGCGGGCATCCGGCCAGCCGGTCGCTGCGGCGGGGAAGTTTCAGTTAGTTCAATTGGGATCGAGGGCACTGCGGGGGTGGGTGGAGAAAAAAAAACTGACAGACGCGGGTAGTCTTTGCGAGATTGGTGGGGTTGATAACCATCTTGAGTGGAGGGGATAGCGTTCTTAGTGGGTCGATGATGCCAGATGTGAGAAGTTGAAGATGAGGCGTCGAAGCGGGAGTTTGAGTCCAGAGCACACCACTCGAGCGAACCACTCTCCGCAGCTTGGCAACCCTTCAACTCAACTCGGACCCTTATCACAAATGGTTGAGTATGATATGATATGATACGAGCTCGACGGAACAACTGTGGCCTGCTTCGTTTTTTGCTCTACCAATCACTAGATTTTTTGTCTCTCCAATTCAACTCCTCTGCGATCACTGAGAAGTCTATTTGAAAGGGCCCTGATTGAATGTAACATCTATCATACAAAGGAAGGAATATACAAAAGAAAGACCCCGACGCACCCTCCGATGATACGAAACTGAATCTCGAAAATTGAGTGTGTAAATTCTCCATCCCCTTCAAAGTCCTCCAGCATCTCCATAACCCCGGGACTTGATTCAACTCAGCAAGCCCAGAGAACTTAAGACGAGAGCTGTATGATATCCAACCCATTATACGCCAACAAGGGACACAGACTCCCATCCCCACGATACATTCTGTACAAAGACCTCTTCCTACCAATAAAACAAGTAATGGTGCCCTCACTCCGGTAAAACCTAGTTTAAGCATTCAGCAATATGCTTGTACTGTACACACTCTGCTTTAGCTCCTGGCAAGCACTTTTTTTTTTTTTTTAAATTTCGCCCGGAATCCTCACTACCCCCAGAGCAACCTACCCCAACAGACCCCTCCTAATTATATTTACTGCTGATTGGCCCTTCCACTCCCGGTAATCGCAATTGAGAGATAAGACAGCATGCGAGCTTGCTAGTACAGGGTGTCTACACTCATGAACCAATTTCACCACCGGTCCCTACCAATATCATCCATGGTTTCTAGAAAATATGATACCCGTGCCAGTACTGTACGGGTACAGTACAGTACTCTTGTATCTCACAGCATGTAGGTCTTGCCAACCCCTCGATCCCCACAATATAGCAAAGTAGAATCTACCAAGAAATCCCCAGCTGACACTTGCAGCATGACTCGGCCTCATTCCCATGTAGAACCCAATCCCCAACACCATCAAGCCAATAACCTAGTCATATCTCGATACGGCACCTTCCATGGGATTTTCAAACGGCAATAACCGCAAGGAACTCTTCATTCGCTCCCATGTTTGTGGAGCTAGCGTTATCATAGCTGTTCGATATGTTCCCGACCCGGCATGCGCATTCTAGTCATTGATAGGTACGGTACTACAGTACCAGTATTGGTCATGTCACCCCCGGTAACCCGTATCTGGTATGCCATACCGGCCGAGACTCGATCTCCCATGCCTGACAGGTAATGTGCTCGTCGTATATACTCGTACCGGTATTCAGGGCGGTCAAGGTTTCGTGATTGGTGAGATGATAGTATACTCCTTCAAGCAAAGCTATACCGTAGGCAGTGATTGCCTTCAACGCGAAAGGAAAGTGCCAGTGGTTTCCTTGATAAGGAAATAACTTACGCTATCCTATCGGAAAAGGGCCCTTTCATCCGTCAATAGCCATGCTAAGCCTGCCCTAGAATGACTGCTTGAGCTTTGCGATTTGCTGAGGAGCACCCCGGACAATGAGTACGGTACTCGAGTACTTTGGGCACGAGTACCGTACCCGAGTCCAGCACTGAGGAAACCTGGCTCTCTAGGGCACTATTGGAAAGTGCTTGTATGATATCATGCTGTATGCAAAATTTAATGATAGACAACTTGCCCTTTTTTTTTGCTTCTCCCTTCCTCTCTACCCCAGCCAGATTAGATGGGCTGGCTATCAGATCACCGGATCATCGGATCATCGGATCACCCTTTTTTTTTTTTTTTGATAAGTTGTATGATTCCTATGATACGGTGCATAATTGTACGAGTACGGGTAACGGTATTGAAACTTCCAAACGAAACCTCTCTACCTCTCAATACCCCCCACCATGATAGCTAAAATCAACTTTCTAAGGCTCACTCGTTCAGCAGTACATCCGCGTGCCTACTCAACCAAGATAGAGCCGGTCCCACTGGCCTATCACCTCCACCCAGCGCCTGTCCCCTCGACCGCCAAGAACGATTCCCCATTGATAGTGATGCATGGGCTTTTCGGCTCGAAGCAGAATAACCACAGCATCAGTAAGTAAGGAAGAACCCCACGCCATCACTTACTGCTACCGCTACTACTACTAGCAGAATGCAAAAAGCTAATCCTCCATAGGGCGTTAGCAAGAGACTTAAACAGACCAGTTTACACACTCGTAACACACCCGAATCGATTGCAGGAATAGCAAGCAAGCAAGTTCTAACGTACTGGAAAAAACAAAAAAATAGGACCTCAGAAACCACGGCGAAAGTCCACACACCCCACAGCACAACTACGAAGCCATGGCAGGGGATGTAGAACACTTCCTGAAGGAAAATAAACTAGGCCCTAAAACCGCTCTGATCGGCCACTCAATGTCTCCCCTTCCCCTCCCAAAACCCAACCCCAAACCCACACTAACACCCCGGTAGGGGCGCCAAAACCGCCATGACCATAGCCCTCCGCAAGCCCTCCATAATCTCCTCCATAATCGCCGTCGACAACGCGCCCATCGAGGCGGCCCTTCACTCCTCCTTTGGCGGGTACGTGCGCGCGATGCGCAAAATCGAGGACTCCCACCTCGCGGAGGCGAAAGCGGCAGACGCCATCCTTGCGGAAGTGGAGCCCGATATCGCCATCCGCCAGTTCTTGCTGCGCAACCTCGTGCGTGGCGACGGTGGTCGTCTCAGCTTCCGCATCCCGGTGAGGACGCTGGCAAGGGAGCTGGATAACATGGCCACCTTCGCCTACCATCCCGATGAGGTCCGGTTCGAGAAGAGGGCGCTCTTCGTGCGCGGGACGCGGAGCCCGTATATCCCCGACGAGGCAATCCCCGTCATTGGGAGGTTTTTCCCCCTGTTCAGGTTGAAGGATATCGATGCGGGGCATTGGGGTGAGTGAGAATTGGTTTTGCGGGGCACGCATGAATGGGGGCAACAACGCTAACAATTTGTAGTGATATCCGAGAAGCCGAATGAGTTCAAGGAAGGTATGTGTCTTTTTCTCCCCGGAAATGATTGGCCTGCGGGATTTCTAGGACTAAAGTGGCGGAATCTAGCTGTCATTGAATTCTTGAACGAAGAGGAATAGCAATAACCCCCCCCCCAAAAAAAAAAAAAAGTTCCCAGGCTTGGCCCATAGTATACGGCCACGAGTCGCCGATGGTGTAAGTTATAGATCGTCGAAGGCACAATAGACCAAATTAATAAAGAAAGCGGATATCCCCAACTTCCCCGTGCAAGATATCATCATACTAACCACAGTGAACGAGAGATCTATAAAAGCAGGGTATACTAGTACAGGAAACGAGTGTCGTAAGATCATAATCATCCCGCCATCATCAATCGGGGAAAAAGGCAAAAGAAGATGAAGGGAAAAAAGTGGTCAAGAAAAGTGTAGAAAGAACAGACACATCATGGGGAAAAGCTTGTGATAAAGAAAAAAAAGGAGCCCAATACAGCAAATACCAATCGACCCAACTCCCAAGCACCTCTAGAATTCCAACCAAACAACCAATCTCCTCCCCCCCCACCAGCCTAACAACACCCAGATTTCGGTGGCGGCTCCCTCTGATTAAACGAAACCACAGGCGGAGACAACGCGGTCGTGCCCCTCTTGGCGCCCGCGCCACCATTCACCAACACTGGCGTCTCCACAATCCTGGTGACAGTGTCGACGAACGGCTCCTTGACGTTCTCCCGCGTCTTGGAGGAGACCTCGTAGAAGCTAGCGCTGTAACGGTCCGCCAGCGCGCGCCCTTCTTCGGTCCTGACAATGCGCGAGGAGGTGGACTTGTCGAGCTTGCTGCCAACGAGGCACTTGACGGCGTCCGGGGGGGCGTACTTTTCCACCTCCTTGAACCAGTAGTCCATTGTTGTGAAGGTTTCGCGGTTGGAGATGTCGTAGACCAGGAGCACGCCTTGAGCGTTGCGGTAGTAGGAGCTTGTTAGGGTCCGGAAGCGCTCTGTTCGGGTAGTGTTAGCTGTTGGGTGTGTGTGGGAGATGCAGGAGGAGGGGAAGAGACCTTGACCAGCCGTGTCAAAGAGGAAGACTCGGTGGAGCTTTCCCTTTACGGAGAGTTTCTTGACCTACATTGCATATCGTATCACCGCGTTAGTCACCCGCCTGTCCGCGTTCGGAGCGGGGGGAGGGGATGGACGAGAGATGGATGGTGTAGAAGGAGGGAGGGAGGAAAGGAGGAACCTTAAAGTCAACCCCAATTGTCGCCGTCGCGTTATCCGTATCGAAGATATCCTCGACATATCGTAATAGCAGCGCCGTCTTGCCGGAGCTGGAGGGGCCTATAAGGAGTCTGCATTGCATCGCACCCAATCACTCCCCCTCATTAACATCCTCCCATTCCATCCATTGCACAATACCGATAGGTGGGGAAGGGAGGAAGGAAGGAAGGAAAGAGGGAGATGTATCATACAGCTTAATCGTCGGATCAGCCATAACTGACTCCTCAACCCAACCCTTCGACTAGCGATGACGACAAGAAAAGAAAGGGAAAAAAATATTATCTGATCTCGCAAGAGCAAGAAACCTTTCCCTCTTTCCAAGCCACGGATGGTAGGTAATATTCCCGTATGTCTGTCTATCTTGTGTATGGTTCGACCGTCCGTTGGATGTGTTGGCTGTGGTTGTTAGACAGAACAGGTCAGAGCTCGATCGAGGCTCAAGTGACAATGTCGTGGTCGTAACCGCACCGTCCGTGAAAACTGGGAGAGGTGTACTGTACTGTACAGTAATGTGCGTGGAATGTGTGTGCGTGCGCGTGTGTGTGTGCAGCAGGCAAGAGGGGGGGGGGAGAAGGAAGGAAGGAAGGCAGGAGGGGAAATGACGAAGCAAAGGGCCGACGTCAGAACTGCGAATTACGGTTCGGTAGGAGTTGGCAACTCGGGTATTGTTTTGACCCAACCTTCAACCGCCAATGTGAGTAGGTAAGGTAAATTTAGGTACAATACTATTCGTGGGAGAGAGAGCAAACGGATTGGAGTGATGAAGGGAGGGGCGAAAGGTATGGCGGAAAAAAAAAACAATTATCGATATGGTACAAGTGTTGCGGTACCGCGGGGTAGGGCATGAATTATACACAGCGGGTCATACTTGTAGAGTTTTACAATAATATTATCGTTGGGGAGGAAGGAAGAGCTTGTTGGGGTGAGATGGTGACCGAACGAATGAGGTAGTTTGGCTGGGCAGCTGACCGACCGAAATCAATCCAGCACATATCGTACTGTACGAGCACAAGTACGAGTACTAGTACAGTAGTCATTATCTACTCTGGCATAGTCTAGGCGTGACTGACAGACAATTCAATGAGCGACTACCCACGGGCTACGCTCCTCCTCCATCAAGTATGATACATACAGCCTGGACTGTTCCCCAAGGTTGGGGTACCATACTCGTAGACTTCTCGCTTCGGGGAGGTATGATACTGCGGTTCATGGGCTTGCATAGGTATGGATACGGTAATCCGCCCCATCAAGCCTATGTCAGAGGGCGATAAGTTACTGGAGAAACATGGGGCCAAAACATAAGTTCAATAACATCTCAGTAAATTAATAACATAGCGGCGGCCTCCCGTAGACCCTGCAGCTGTCAAAACAAATTGATGGGGCAGCAACTAAATTTAATGGCTGAAGAAGGCGAAGGAGGGGGTTCTCTGACGTCTTAGTAAGCAAAAGCGGCAAGGAAATATCATATCCAATGCAGAGAAATCTAGGGAAGGGGAGTACTGTACGTACAGCCCGAGTACAGTACAGTATCATGAACTATGAAAAAGTTTCCAGCGCAAAAGCAATAACCCTCTTCCCATCCCCGGGGAAACACCGGAAATGCTAACTACATATCGGTATATCGGCAGAATGATACTTCAATGTGCACACCAGTTTATTTGGTCCTTCCACTCTCAAATGCTAGACTACCGCAAAACCTTGCCAAACTCGCTATGCAGCCAAGAATGATTCTGCGCTAAGGCATGCACATGCAGCCAAGAATATGCTAGTGGCCTGCCATGCATATAAGGATTTTTATCAGAAATGGCCGAGTAAGAACGATGAGGGCAAAGGCAAATGAGGAAATAGATTATGAGTATTTCTATTCATCTCCGGTAATGAAATCTACAAGAGGGTTCTCATCATCGGCCTCATCAATCAGATCTTCCATCTCTCCGGTCTCCTCTCCAGCAATATCTGAGCCCAGTCTCCAGTCTCCGATAGCCAATTCCTCAGCTGTAAAGCCTTTCACATGAAGTTGTGAGTCTTGTGAGCCATCAATAGGAAGAGCAAGACCAACATTCCGGAATGAATCTTGGATAATCTTTTTGCCTGAATCCTTTCCTGTAAACTCAGCCCATGCCCATCCCACACACCAAGTGGTTGATACCCTCCAGTCTCCTACAGACCACTTCTCCAAGCCATTCTGTTCTTGTGTGATGATTTCTTGCTCGGTGAAGTCATGCAAGATGTCCTTAAAGAGGTGGTTTACTGATATGTCGAGTGGCTGAACAAGGCCAGTGCAGCCTGGAGGAATGAGAGTCAGTGTTATGTTGTGTGACTTTAATTGCTGTAGAATTGCTGGTGTTTTATGAAATTCTGCAACATCAATTGTGAATAGAGAAGGCCGTCCTTCTAGAACAGGTACTAGGTAGTCATTGATGTAGGCTGAAAAGAGACTCTCGTTATTATAGGCAGTAGGATTGAATTGGACAGTTACTCTGGGATCATATTTTGTTTTCTCTCTGCCTAATCGCTGACCTTTCCCGTGAAATATGAGGACAGGAGCAATTCGGTCAATTCCATCTGCAAAAATATACAGGATTAAACTAGCCTGGCGCTTATCCCATCCTGACTGTATTTCCTTTACCCATACAGTTTTCTCCCCAGTTGAATTATAGGTTCGGCCAGACAGGTATTCAAAAGGGAGAGGTGTTTCGTCCAGATTGCAAATATTGCTCAAAAGAAATCTTCCATAGGGGTTAGAAGATAGGATGAGATCAAGATAGGGATTGGGATCTGGTTATGAGTTTCTTCGATTGAATCGAATCCAATTGAGGATGATAGAACGATATTCCTCGGGCACCTTTTGAGCTTTTCGAGTTACAAAGCGCAGACTAATCGCATGAAGTTCCGAAACCAGCCATTTGAAAAGCTGAAAATTCTGTTCCGCTCTGTCGTGCCACCTGTAGTGGTCCTAGAAACGGCTGAAAGAACTTCTTTCCCATAGACTGAGTGGAATAATTGTGTTGAGGTCCTTCTAAACCACCTACGGCGTACAGCTCCTCCTGCTCCTCTCTCTTCTAAAAACCTCTGATGCAATACTGCTGTCACAAATGTGGCTTAGCGAGGAAAGGGTTTTCACGTGACACATGGTTATGAGTCACAGGTATGTTATTGTTTCACGCATATGACCTATTCAGGTTATATGATTTGTTATGTGTAGGATTTGTAATGCTTTCGCACATGGCTCAAGTATGAGTCATGGGACATGCGCCTGACGAGTATGCCTTACGAGCGTGCCTTACGGGTAAGCCTTGCACATATGATTTATGTTTCGCACATGACCTCATTATGATGTCATGGGTTTCGTGCATATGACTCAGTCGAGTCATATAACTTGTTTATTGCGTTATGATTGGTTTATGAGTTTTGCACATGACCTTGCTATGAGGTCATGGGTTTTGAGCATGTGATCACTTTGGTCATATGACTAGTTTGTTATGATTTAGTTTCGCACATGTGACCACTTTAGGTCACATGACTAAAGGCAGGAAGAACACTATATAAGGAGGCCGATGTGGCAGAGGAAGATAGGTTCTTCACACTTTGTTCTAAGTACTTTTCCTACTTATTAGTTTAACGAATATAAAACACTTTTACGATCTTTATCTTTATTGCAACGTTATCGTTACGCCAAGGAAGACACTTTACGAAGAAGAGTTAGAGAAAGCTTACGATAGGTGTTCCCGGTAGAAGACAAGGGTCTTGTACTATCGGTAATGTAGGTAGAGGCCTAGAGCTATCGTAAGATAAAGGAAGAAGAAGACAGGAAGAGAAGTATCGTTCCCCGTCGCCAAGCATTAACTATCCAGAGAGGGATCGTTACAGCTGCCTCCATCTCCAGCCATCGGCAGGAAACAGCATTTTTCACACTCCTTTCTCCTTTTGAAGAGTGTAAAATCTTTTCTCTCTTCCGAAGCCAGCCACTAATTGTTGATTGTGGGATTTGAAAGAGGGCAGCGGCATCATCCTGAGTAGGAGCTTTTGATGATTGGATACTAGAACCCTCAGAGCTGGATTGGGCTTCAGTACTAGGTACGTCACGCTCCTGAAGGTAGCTAAGAACTTGAAGCTTTTTTGCCCGGGAATAGGATCGGCAAGGTCGGAGAATCTGGCTCGGTATTGGTACTTTGCGTTCAGCCAGTGATTTTGGCTTAGGGCCTCGACGCGGGGTGATTAAATTGGCTGATTGTGGTTCGAGTGGCATTTCTGGAGTTGTATTTTGATTCTTCTTCTTTCATTCAGTACAAAAATAACAGAGAGATTTGCAGGAGAGCTAGCTAATAGTATTGGTATCAGTACTGATATCAAACTCACGATGTGTTGTTCTCCTTTGCAGGGATAGTTTACGCTAATGCATGTCTGATCCCTAGCTTTACACGCAGAGAAATCTTGGCTGCATACCGAGTTTGGCGAGTTTTTGCGGTATTGCTTTCCGTCCTTTTTGCCATAAGGGCTTTCCTCTCTGTCTCTCCATAAACCCGCCCAATTCGAAAGAGCGCATTCCAACCCCCTCCGATCATTCTTCAATCCCGCCTCACTCGCAAGGAGATTTAGGTAGCACTGCGCATTCCCGTTCGTACCACACAATTCGAGCCTGATCCTATACAAACAAGTACGAGAGCCATCACACCCGCTTGGACTACCGATAGCAGGAAGTCGCCGCTATAGGCATTTCGTTGCAATATGGAAAGCTTAAATGCCTGAACCTCCGATCTCGAGGGGCATAGCAGAGTAACTTATTATCCGCGCACCGGCGTAGTACCGTGTCGGAGTACTGTACAGATACAGTACCGGTATACCTCCGCAGCACGACATGACCTCCACCAGACACACATCGGAAGAGAGCCTCCCATCAACAACTACAACAGCCCATCGGTAGCCAGTCCATCCGATACCCCCAATACCATTAAAACGAGAGATCATGCAAACAGCTCCAAATACCATATTACAGTACTAAAAAAAAAAAAAAAAAAAAAAAAAAGGGTCCAGACCTCCCCATCAGACCCACCGGTATCATAGGTCAGACCCCAAATCCAATGCACCCCTCACAAAATATCATACCGGTACCGGCACGAATAACATAGCACACATCACCGCAAGATCACGATCCGCAATTGCGCAACAGCAGCCCCTAACTTGACGCCTCCCTCTCCCGTTTACCGTAACCGTACGTGTGCTACGGTATCACACGGGTACCACATATCATAATAAAATTACTGATATATGATGTGTACTGTACCATATAACCGCCCGCTCAGAACTTTTGATGGATGGACGAGCGGGGAGGGCAAAAGAAAGGAAGGAATGGAGGAGCTCTGGGTGAAGGAGGCGGGGGGACGGCGATGATAATGGCCAGTCATAATTACTCGTCGTGGAACCCATCGATAGGAAATTGTATCTATGAGAGAGGAGAAAAAGAGGGCTTGTTTATAATATCATATCGTACTCGGACGTTGTCCATAGGAAATAGGAAAGGCCAATACGGCACTATAGTACTCGTACCCCCTCCCGCATCATGCAAAGGTTAGTTACGGTAGCCCGGTTAGTTGAGCAGAAAAGAAAAAAAAAAAAACGCCCCCAAATTGGTATCAGAGGTCCAAGAACCCGTAGTTATGATATTATGTCGATGATACAAGTATATGCACCAGGCACCGCCCGGACAACAATCTCGCTGGGATAAAAACTGTATGATAACTCCTTGCAATTCACAACTTTCACCCCTTCGTCGGGTGTGCTGTACAGTACAAGCACGGTGCAAACCTATGATATCATACCCAAACTTATCCCACCCAAGATCCCTTCCGGTCACCACCCGAGTTTACAGTATCACGAATCGAGAAGTCTCTCTCTCTCGCTCAACTTATTACAATCACAACTGAACCGCACTATGAAAATCCGAGCCTCGCAATAAATTTATCATACAAAGTATCATACCATATCACAAACAAACGGGAGCACCGCCGCCCAAACATGACCGCCTAAGGCTATGCCCTCCATCCAGCCCGGCCCGGCCTCACGTGGACTGCCCATCCTACCGTGCTATGATGCGTTAGGCGTCTGCGCCGTGGCTTTTCACGCCTCACCTCACCTCACCGTATTGTACGTACGAGTACGTACAGTGAGTGCAGCACAAGACCAGACTACTCGTAGAGCGTACCGTACCAAGAGAGAGATATGGAAATGTAATGTGAGCCACGGATGTGAATGGATGGGTGACGGGCAGACAGGCAGACGATTTAAGCTCCGAGTTTAAACTTCATATTTTCTGCAGGGTGAAAAGGCCCAACAAAAGGAATTAAGGCGACGGCAGGACCGGGAAAAGCAAGAAAGTGCCATGAGGCTCTCTACATACGAATGCAGTAGAGCAGGGCGCTCGGAAAGGCCTCCATGGCCTAGCCGTTGAAAGTGCTCGAGTAGACGATAGTATATTCTGTCCGTGGATCGAGTGTGGTAAAAAAGAGACACCGTGACACATACCTGCTCCGTGAAGCCGAGATATTTCTATACATATATATGGGAACAACTGACAGGGTACAACGTGAGTCACCATCACCATCATCACCACCACCATCATCACCACAAGTTCGTGCTACAAGGAAAGCGTATGGCTCAAATATGATTGTATCCCGTACACCGTGCAAAAGAACTAAACCCACACCCTCCCTTGAATTGAATTGAACCCCAATCCGTCCAGTAAGAATTTGGCCCCAGAGCGAAAGAAAGACTAAACAAGGAAAAGGAATCTGGAATTTCAAAAGTTCGCTGTTTGTGCCCGAAATTTTGATTTTTTTTGTGAATTTTTTTTAAGTTGACCGCTTTTTGTTCTGCATATTTTCACCCCACCTTCACCCCTTTACACAGACTCCAAAACGGTCTCCTTGAACTCACGCTCCACCTTCTGACCAGACTCATCCGCTGTCGACTCCCCGTGCAGATTCAGCAAGGCACCGAGATCGAATTTGGGCGACTTCAAGAGCTTGACTTTACGGATGTGAACCTGCAGAAAGTATTATTAGCATTTATGTGTATATATAGAAGCGGGTATCTGCTGCGGGTGCAGGATGTGACATGTACGAACATTCTGGAGTGGATAGATTCCGGTTGTCGCTTTCTCAATCTCACGCCCAATAACTTCCGGGATGAGCTTCTGGGTCAGCTGCGACAAAGTGCAGCTCGCGGCCTCACGCTGAATAATCTCAACCATCTTCTTGCGGATAGCACGGATCTGTGAAGTCTGGGCATATGTGGTCTTCTTGATCTGGTTTTGTCGCTTCTTGGTGAAACCAATAGCGAACAGGCGGAGAAGGTAGTCGTCGGTGGTCTTGACCGTGATGTTGGCCTCAATCAATGTTTGCCACTTGCGGACGAGCGAGCGAAGCTTGTCGGAAGTGAAGTCGAGACCGTGGAAGTTGGTTAGACAACTCTTTCCCTGGACTTCATCCACCCGGAGCTTGACCTTGCGGAAAGCGTGCTCCTCATCCTTCTGGAGATCGGCAAGAGAAACCTCGAAAATTCGGCCCTTGAGTGCGTCGTTGGCGTTCTTGAGACCGGTGGTACGGTTCACAAGGGTCTTTCCGACACTGCATATCCATGCCATCTAGTTAGCGGAAAGTCCTCATCCTCATCCCGCAAATGGGATTCGTGCAATAGCAAGCCGGGCATGAAAAGCCGAGGGCGCGGGGGGGTGTATCTCACTCTCTGATAGCGAAGGTCGAAGGTGCCTAAAAATGATGAACATTAGAGGAAAGGCCTTCCTATATAAGATACATGGGGTAGCTCACCTTAACGCTGTACCAATCCTTGCGGGTGAAGGGATCCTGGGCCTTCTTCTTAAGACCCTTCTTTCCTTTGGAAAGTCTCTTGTTCTTGCCAACAGCCATAGTGTATTATTTCAATCGTTCACTGGAGCCCAGTCAGCTCAAGCCTGAAGCGTCCACCACTAACAATAATCCCGTATGTGGATAGAATTGAAGATAGACTTCATTCTCAATCCAAAAGACCACAACGTAAAAACCGATAACTCCAACCAGGAAAAGGGAGAGAAAAAATAAGTGCGAGAATTAAAACCCACCTGTCGTCACGTAGCTTATCAGGGACTCCTTCGAGCGGGAGAGTTGGCGTGGATGTCGTGAACGGTGTTGATGGTGTTGTCTGGAAATCCAACCATTGGGCGCAAAGGTTGTGGGACTTTTTTTCTGTTTGTGTGTGTAAAGATCCCGGCCGTCACAGGGCTGTAACCCTCAACCACGAATGTTGTTTTCACAGCCACACAACCTGACTAAAATATTACTTGTAGGCAGATTGGACCACAAGCCACACACAATCCAACCCGTGCTCTAAACTGCACACCCATGATGACAACAGCACACCACCATCTATCATACCTCCCCGATTCTTGCTTCATCATTCACGTTTCACAGCAGCAAGCCCGCCCACCCAGCCATCTATCTCTCGTTCCACATTTCCCGTTGGGAGAGAAAGTCAGACATACGGCAAGCAGCTACAAGTACGGTACGGTACTCGAGCAACGGCAGTCACGCCACCACCACCATCTCCATCAGCAAGTCTCTGGCTGGAATACCGTACTGTACCCTACCGCAGCGCAAATGGGGTTATGAAAATAATAATATGAATAATAATAACACTAATGAGAACAATTCCTCCACCATCAGTTCAGAAGATATTCCTGCTTTAACAAGGTTAATAAAACACTCGAGCATGTAGAAACAAGTACTTGTACGATAACATCCGAGCGAAGAAACCACCCCCCCACCCGGGGACCAAAGAAATAATTCCAGGAACAAGAAACACGAGCAGTTAGATCTGCGGCTCTGCGGAAGCGGCTCCCATTTTTACTCGAGTACGGTATCATACTCGTATTTCATTTTTTTGACTTTTTCAGTTCCTTTCTCTCCCTCCCTCGGATCATTCCGAGACCCTTGGCAATTCAGGAGTCGAGAAAACCAAAACAGGCCAATACGGAATGCCTTATCTGAGATACCTACACCCACGGTACAGTACAAATACCGTAACCCACCGATCGGGAGTGTGAGCATCAGTCCGTCAAACTCTGGCCCATTCGTCGAGGTTGCTATCATATGCGTGTAACACCCCCCTCGACCAATCTACGCTATATCTTGATGAAAGGGAAGAAAAGAAAAGAAAAAAGTTTGTCGAATTCTCTCTCGTCCGTGGTTAAGAGAGAATCCCGTTTTTCCATTTTGCAGAATCCTTCATCCCTGGTTCTGACGTAGATACGGTATCTCTTTCCCACTCGAACTCTCGTCCAAGTTACAGTGCTCGCGGGAATTCCTAACAGCACATTTCTGCAATGCCAGTAACTGCGGGAGTTTGTTTTTTTCCATTTGCCCCGCTCCCCCCCTCCCGGATGGATGGCTTACTTGGATTCAATACAAGGCCCTGAAAAGTGGTCCAATAATCCACTGGCGGGAGTTACAGTAATGTACCGGTAAAGGCGAGACGTGGAAGAAAGAGAGAAAGAAAGAGGAAAAGGAAAAGAAAAAAACCTCAATCCAATCAACCTTCATTTCTAGGAAGGGGTAAGAAAGAAAAAAAAAGCCCTCTCGAAGTGAAAATGTGACTGGGTATCTTCCTTATATGCTGTGAAAAGGAGGTGGATGGGAACAAGGTACCGGGATAGTAGGTGGAGGAGAAGGAGGAGGGGTACGGTAGGAGAGCAAATGGATAGAGGACGTGCTATGAGGTATTGCAGTACCGGTAATGGTGTGAGACGAGTTGATATCAGCAATTCTGCTCCACCCGGTAGGTACCGTGTGTGTAACAACCCTCTCATGACGTTGAAGTTGGTCCTAAGAATTACGATATCAACCGGAATCGTGCAGTACAGCACAGTACATTTCTTCTGCTTCTACGATACTTCATGCCTATCCCCCCCCCCTCCCCCGTCCACCTATGCACTGCAGAGCGCACAGTACCAATGAATGGTAGCAGCTCGAGTCCTATACCTATATGTAAGCTAGGGGGTGAAAGGAAGAGTTCCAATCTCACCAACATATCGGTACTCTGCTATTTTTCCCTTATTTCACCCTTCACCCCCCCCTCCTACCTCTCTCTGCTCCACTATTCATGACCGGGGCAGGTTCTACATTGCCGGTTACTGCACAGCACTCGAGTATAGTACCAAGGCCAGAGCTCAGGTACGGTAGATTACTTTACATGAAGTCGACATAATCTCCCACCCGACAGGGTGTCCATGCATCCATAGCCCATGGCCACCGGCCGGTAATGCATGCGCCGTAAGAGTAAAATATTTTCGCGAGGGGAAAAGGAAGAAAAAGAGAAAATTATCGTAAACACAGCGAATGAGAAAGTGCCATGAAGGAAGGAAGAAGATACCACTTTCAACCCTTTGCAGCATTTCGTCTCATACCGGTGCTGCCCTAGTACTAGACATGCCATAATTCCCGACCAACATAATGGGCAGCTGGAACGCTTGTTAAGGGAGTGAGAGGAGAACTACAGTACAGCGTATGATACATGGCAGTAAACTCAGTATCTATTTCGCAAGTGTCGACACAACGCTGCGGCTTCTTCCTCTTCCTCTTCCTTTTGCAGTATTGAGATGTCGACTTATCTGCCATGCCGTTCGTCCAGTACCGGTACGGTACAGCAAGGTACAGCAGAGTACCTTCGACGAGTCGGGCGTGATTAGGAATGACGGGAATACTCGGACTTTTAAGAAGGAAAGACAAGAAAGAAATAATGGAGTGGAGAGTGCAGGCAAAATACCATACCGGTAGACTGCCCTTTCGTGGCATTTGATATTCTCGTTCGAACCGGGTGATTATCCCATTCCGTCACACCACCATCGCTGCACCACCGCCACCGCTAATTAGAGTACTTGCTGCAGACGCACACAAGTCGCCAAAGTATCATCCATAAATGAACTGTGGAAGCGGACGAGACGAGACGACCGAAGCACGGTAAGCACGTAGATGCGGTGGGAAAACAAAGCCCAAGACTCAATGACTCCGAGGGAGGAATGAGTGGTATGACTGTTGGGGGATTTTATTCCCTCACTCATTCTTGCTTGATTCTGGGTATCAATCATTAACTTTTGTTCGTGTTTTTCCTATTATTGTTATTAACTTATCATTATTTTGGGGGAAGCACGTATCGCACGTACGTCGTTCAGGGATCGCTGCATACTCAATAGCGGTAGGTGGGTGCATATATTCGGGAGGAAGGTAGCATAGCAACACCGGGAAGAAAGAAAGAATGGTAGTTGAAGATGCGGCGAGTGTTACAATTCGACATATCATAGGACGCCCGCTTTGCTCCTGGTTTTCGGGAGTGGAAGCATTACTGAGGCCAATTAACTTTGGCCCCCCTCAACTGTACTCGAGTATGCGTGATAGCAGATGGACGAACGGATGGATGGATGGAAGGGGGGTAAGTTACCGGTACCGGTAATGCTAAACGATTGAAATAATCGTCGTGCAATTTGTAAAAAGTGTACCATCATCATCGTGTCCCATCCACCTATCGGATCAAGAAAGGCGGGGGGTGAACATTGGATTTCCTAGATAAGTAAAAGACCTACCTCACCCATCGCCCCAGAGTATGAGCAACTCGGAGCACCACCAAAACCACCGCAACCCGAACATAAACACAAACACAAGAAAGAAAGAAACAATACCGATACTGGTAGCAATAGCACCGGGAATACTACCCACTTTCCCCATCCTATCCCGCCCCGCCCCGCGAAAAAGAAAAAAAAAATACCACCATCCTCCTCCTCCCACAAATCTATCTAAGCGGGGTACGGGGCAGTACGAGTACGGTACAGGGAACCACGATACGGCTTGCCAAAGTACCTGCAAGTACTAGCCACAGTAATAGATTGACGTGATACTGCATGGAAGCGAGACCACGAGTGAGAAGAAGAAAGTCGGTTTTTCCTGTCTGGTTAACTTACTTACTGCAGTGAGTGGGGTTGCCATTATATAGTGGTAGGGTTGGGTGCGAGCAGCTTTGGGCAAATAAAGAAGGGGGGAGGGGGGGTAATTAATTGCTTTGCAGCTCACACCCCACCTGCCTGCCCTCTCGCTTCTTGTATCGAATGGGGGGGGGGGTTCTACCGGTTGGGAGGGGGAGGGGGGGAATGGCGGGGGCGGCGATGTGGTAGTGGTGGCGGTGGGCAGTGGGACTGGTATCAACTGTCTACTCGGGTAGGTGTTGTTCTTCTGGAAACTCAACGTCGTTGAGGGATTGACATGGGAGACTTGTACCTAGACGGCATCCCTACAAAGCACAGTACTAGTATAGCATTAACTTATATTCGTTCCTACTGTACTCGAGTAGGCTAGATAGATAGCTTACCGGTGCTTTCATTTACAAGCAAACTACAGTACTATACTCCCACTCGAGTACATCAATTCGCAAGGCACGTGTAACTATCATTCCACCAGTACAGCCACTCTACAGTAGACTGCTGTACCTCCACAGAACAAACCATCACCCACCCACCTATCATAAACAAAACCATTACATCAAACGCTTCACCTCAAACCACCCCGAATAAACCAGCCAACCCAGCCCTGCGACCCAGGTGCGGCGCCCAGAAAAAACATCCATTTATACTCATGAGCTGTAAACCCACCACCACCACCACCATCATCACCATCACCACCAATCAGCTAAACAAAAAAAAAAGTTACCACCCAACTTCCAACAACTTCCACTTCGTCCCCCCCCCTCATACAAGTAATCCCCGTAGAACATCATTTATTTATTCATTCATCCACGACAACCCAACCCACACCACTGGAAGCATTCCCTACGAGTTACGGTACTCGTACTACCATAGTCTAAACCCGCTCGGCCTTCACACCACTTGCATTACCAAAAGAAAAAGAAAAGGAAAAAGAAAAAAAAGAAAAAAAGAAAAAAGAGAGAGACCCCACCATCCATCCATTACCGCACACCCGTTAAATTCCCACGAATCAAATCACCAGCGCAAAAAAGAGGAGAATGCAGCGACGGTTTACGAGTTAGTTAGAAAAGGAAAGAGAATAAAAAAGCAAACCGGAGACTACTGAGAACTAGGCGATCATATTAACCAATTAGGATATCTGCGAAGGAAAAAAAAAAAAAACATAAGGAGGACGGGGCTTATCCTTCTCTCCTTTCTTGCTACCTTCCTTCCTTCCTTCCTTATCATTATCACCATCGAGTACGATAGCGCAATCGCAAATTAAGTGTAGGAACGGGATTACAAGGAGGAAGGAGAGCGAAAGTGCGAGAGTGCTGTGTTAGCGGCGGGGGCGGGGCGGTGGTGATGGTGGTGGGATTTCATAGGGTGGATATCATGTCAAAGTTCAAGGTTCTCTCTCTCCCATCCCTCCCTCCCTCCCTTTCATCTATCCCGCAGTTAGACCTCCCGCTCCATGCGGAAGGAAGGAGGGAGGGTATGATAAAAAGGCCTGTATTGTTGTTGTGGTGGTCCTGATTAACCAATATAAATGATATCATATAGGTTGCAGATGACCGGTTGCTAACTTATGGGTTTTGGGAGGAGAGGGAGGGAAAGAAGGCGGACAGGTTGAATGCATAGATGGATGCGTCGTTATCATATCGTGGAAGGCCAGGGTGGGAGGGGGGGGGCTAGGGCTGGACCAAAACCGGGATTCATACAAATTAGGAAAAAACTCAAACTATCATACCAACACGATAATGGTTAAGTTAGTAGTCCTACAAGTATCATGCCTAGGAGATTTCGTCCTATCATACAGTTTGAGGGTTGACCTCAAACAATTGTTCCATACGGTAATAGAAACACCCTCTACTTGAGTATGCACTGCATCAGTTGAGTTGCTAAACAACCATGCCCATTGTCAAGGCGTGAAGAATCGTGGTACAGTACCGGTAGTTTCGTAGTGACGGCACCAGTGCATGGAGTGCTGATCGTAATACTATATTATAAAATAATAAAAATAAAATAAATATATAATAAAAACAGGGCAAAAAATGGTAAATTAAAGACAAGAAGATATTATAATTTTGATACAAGAATTTAAGGTTAGCTCGGTTGTCATGTTTGTTTTTATTCTTGTTCTTTTGCAAATATCCTTTTTCCCTGCGCTTTGCTTTCCATTCATTCATTCATTCAGATTGGTGGAAGGAGGGAAGGAAGAGAGGAATGAGGGAAGAAAAGAAAAGTTATGATGCATCCAGCAAAGAGCAAAGAGATATTTGTTGACAAGAAGAAAAAAAACAAAAAGGCATCTTGTTAGCCGCAATCGACCGTAGAGTGATTATCCCACCAGCCAGGTTCCTCCCATCCCACCGGAGAAGAAGAGAAGGGAATGATGGAAAAAGAAAAACTATGTAGAAAATAGAAGTAAAAATGCCAAAATTCGCGCCGTCCCATTGTTTTCATGTCAGGCGCCCGAGATGTAGTATATGCCGATAAGACGCGCCCCCCCATAAAAAAGAGTTAACACCAAAATACATGAAGATTTGTTGATGGAATGGAGGCAAAAAGGATTTGTTGAGGTTAAGTGAAGAAGAACCACCTGACTTGTCCAAGTCGCCACTATTGTGAACCTATTCGTACTTTCAAACTAAACCAAAACCAAGGAAAGAAATATTTTCGGATAGAAGAGTAAGGAATGAAAGAACTCCCTACCGCTTTCCCCCTTAGTGGCAGTGCTTTTGGTAGAACAAGAGAGTGGAAATAAAGGAAAGGAAGTCAAAACTTTAATAAAGAATAAACAAGAAAGTGTAATGAGTAGTAGAACAATGCTCCAAAAAAAAAAGGGAATGTGCCTGTAGATAGAGAAAAGAGGGAAATAGAAGCAAACAATGAGCCCGCGCGCCGTATGAAAGTTAACAGAAAAAAACCGATAATATGCACAGCCGGTTATGTGGATTTTTTTGTGGATTTTATGAATTTTTTTTTTTCTTTCTTCCTTTCGATTAGTTTCCGTCCCCTGCTCACAACTGAATGTTGAAAAACTGTTGATGCGCCGTTACCGAAAATAAACGACCGATTTTGTACAATTCGCCGAGGATCCGCCAATTGCCATGACCATCTTCCGGATCCTCCAGTTGGAGCGATCCTAGTCACCGTTTGTGGGGTGGAGGAGGAGACCCCGCCTCGTCCTCAGATTTGTAGTCTCCGAATTCCTCGAATACTGGGAAGCTAATGTAACCACCTATTGTAAAGAAGAATTAGCCAGAAGGAACGGATTAAATAAAGGGGGGATAACTTGTTCGCGTCGCTGCAATTTTTGCTGGGGTAGAGCGAGCGAGCGAGCAAGCATGTGAATTGGGGAGCGAGTGACGTACCGTCGGGGCTCTCAGGCAAACCCTTCTGCATCGAGCCGAACGGGAAATGGCAACCATCCCCGGGGGGCGTCGATAGTGGTGTCGACGAGGCAGAGCTCGAATTCGACATTGCCATTCTTGGAGATGATGGTGTAGTTCCTGTCTGCGGTTGAGGAGCTGCAACTTTTGCGAGTAATGTTGTCGCTGTCTGTGAAGGCGAAGTGCACCGATGCCTCTCACTCTGCACGGTCGATGACCCAGTTACGCCGCTGACCGAAGGAGGGGTTACCGAAGGAGGAGTGAGTGGGGAACGCCTCGAGCGTGAAGATTCGCGAGGATCTGGTAGTGAAAGGAGCATTCTTGCTGCTTTGGATGGGTAGGAAGCGAGTTTGCTGTAAGGGCTCGTTGAACGAGAAGTGTTGTCGTCCGAGGAACGTCTTCTCTTGTTTGAAGCCAGTGTGCGGATAGCTTCGAGTTATAATGGAACCGGATAGTCGGAAGGCTGGATAGGGCTTTTCGTGTATCGATATCGAGCTCGCTCTGGCTCTATTTTATCTTAGACAGGATTTTATAAAGGGTTGGTGGGAGCGGTCTAAGTTTTTGGCGATGAGAAACACGGACGGCCCCGAAGATCGTCTGAATGTATGGTATTTGTTGCGCAGAAGCTGGATGGAGAGCTGCTGATATGGAGATGGGTGGAAGATGCTGAGGGATTTTATTGAAATCCAGAAAGGCGAGAGTGTGATGGATGGGGAATATTTTGTGGGACAAGAGTAGAGTTGGGTGGTGGGTGAAGTGAGTATTAATATTTTTGTGGCCGAGCAAGAAAGTAGCGGAAGCGGCGTACGGGGGCGTGTCAGCGCTGGGTTAGAAAGAAAGGGTCAACAGGTTTGTTTAATCTAGGGAGAGAAGATGACGGAGACGAGATGGTCAATTTTCTTTGGAGGGGGGGTCTGGTCTGGTGTGGGCGGTGGGAAGCAGATACCGGTATGGTAGCTAAATATTGTAGTGGTGGGTTGACACGAAAAGCTGGTAAAGGGAGAGAGAGAGCTTGGTTGCTTGACGCTGTTTGGCCGCTTTTGCTTGCTTTGCCAGCTTGCTTTGACCTTGCTTGTGCTTTGCTTCTCGAGATACCGGTACTCGCTTCACCTGCTTAAGCGGCGCGGAGAAGGAATAGCGAAAAAAGGCAGGATATGGGAAGTAGCGGCAGGAAATCTATGTTCCTCTTGTAACCTTTCTCTATCTATGTATCATGTACGGTAGGAGGCACGAGGACTCTTCTTTTTTTTTTCTTTCTTCCCTTTCAGTCTGCTTCGTCAGGACAGGTCAATATCCAAGACCAAACGACGATGATGAGTGGGTAGATGGCGGCTGTTCTTGCGAGCTGGCTGTGAGAATGAGAAGGGAAAGAAAAGAAAAAGTGAGAGAGAGACGAGTACACTCAGACAAATAGAGAAAACTAATTGGCTGAACGATTAAAAAAAGGTATAAACGGACAGGCAGGATAGAGGAACAAGATTGACGCAGGGCAGAGCAGTAAGAAGCCCCAGGGTGAAATGAAGAGACACACTGCTTGGTGATACTATGGGTGCGGAGACACAGGAAGGGACACAAAAGTCAAAGTGTGTGTGTGTGTGGACAGGCCACTGTAAAACGGTGCGGAAACAGCGGAGCAAGAGTACTTGAGTATTTCTCTCTCTCTTTTTATTTGAAGTGGAAGTACCGGTACTTGTACACGAGAAGCTGGATCTTGCCATCTTTCTCCTCTTTTCTTTTTTCATATCCTGCTACTCTTCATGCCTCAGAAGGGATTGAGGAAAAGAAAAAAGGAAGAAGAAAAAAAAAGCACCATGTGCATCGTGTCGAACAGAGCGAACGAGGGCCGGTTCGTCGTTCGTCGATTTTGGCAGTCTTCCAATCCGGCCTGCTATGCTTGCTCTCCCCCAATGCTGGTCGGTTACTGGCTTGCTGTAGTCTTTGCTGGTGTTGCCGACCTGTTCCTTCCTGCCCCTCGCCCTCTGTGGAGAAAGAGCCCCGAGGGGCGGAGGGGAAAGAGGATCGGATTGGCGTGCCCCGACCTGTTCGCTTCAGGAATAGCTCGTTCACCCCTTGACCCTCTCTGGGGCAAATCCTTGGTAGTCCACGAGTAGTTCTGAGTGAAAAAAAAAAATCTTTCCCTTCCCCCAATTCATTTCCTGATGCCCACCATCTCGAGTTGAGGATACCGACTCGAGAAACTCAGGAGATAGACTATCGGATCGCATCACCTCTTGGAAACGAAGGGAAGGGAAAGAAAAAACAAATAACGAAGGCTCAAAATTCAAAATAATCACTCATGAATGGATCAATAGGAATTAACCCAAGTCAATTGCAATCCCTTGATCCACGCTAAATGAATGAAGGATAACGGTTGAACGCGGCTCGATACCACCAGCACATGGAGGGGTGTTCATGCTGAGATGATCATATACTCGAGCAGTCTAGAGGGTACTCGTAGTCTACTGTGGGAGGAAGAGAGATGGATGCGAAGAGCATTCGAGCACTGTAACCCCTTGCCACTGGCCGGCCACCTTTGCTCTGTCCTTGTACCTGTACGGTGCTCGAGTACGAGTATCGGTATCCCTAGCACCCCCTTGACCCGAGGAGGAGTATCTTTATTTTAAAAATTCATACCTGACCATTATTTCATTGTGTTACTCCCTTTTCGATCTCGACTCGCCCACAGAAGGGAAGTGGGGACGAGACCGACGCCCTAGCCAAGAGCGAGGCCCAGACCGTACTGTATGTAAGTTAAACGCTCCGAGATAGGAACAAGACAAGGAATAACTTAAAAAAAGAAACACCTCTTTCTATCCCCCCCCCATAAGACAAATAACACAGCCCGTACCTTCCTGGCCCTCCTGTGCCATAAAGGTGGTAGAAATGTTTTTCCAGGCCTCATGATGATTGACGCCGTCCACCGGTGGCCCGACGGGCAGCATAAATCTACTGTAGCCCACTTCACACACACCAGACATATAAACGAATAATGAGGAGTACGGTGCCCGGTACGTACGAGTACTTTGTTCAAACTTGTATACTTGAGTACTCATCATACTAGTACCAGTGCCCATACTCGAGTACCCTCAAGTCGAGAGGAAGGAAAAGGAAAAGCGGGGCCAAAACGGTTACTCTGCGGCTTTCTACTTTGTTCAGCCGCCTGACGTTTCCTCTTGTAAAAAATAAAAAAAAAGATGCAACCTTCCCCCCCTCTCCCTCTCCATGCAACCCTTTTCTTTCTAGTTGTCTGCATGTTTTGCTGTTCGTTCCGCGTGCTTGGTCCGTCGAAAGCTCGAACAAAGCGAATGGTGAAGGAGGAAGGGGGCAAGAGCACGAGGGGTGAGTTTGTTTATTCACCTTAACTAAACCATACCAGGTATAGTACCCCTCATTTTCCTTCCTCTTCCCTACAGAAGGGAAATCTAATTCCCAAACTGTCAATTGCTATTGTGAGAAAAGGAAAGAAAGGTTACTTGCACTCGTAGGGAGATGAAGTGGTCCACGAGTACGAGTACCGGTACAACGCATCTGTCATGCAACGAAAGTATCTATCCTGTTTGTTCCTGTCATCCATCGCACAGCATCTTTTGGCGGACCAATTGAGATTGAACAAACCTCTCGTAATAGCCCGCGGGTTGAGGAGAGGAGAGAGAGAAAGCGTTAACTTTTCATTTGTTCGTGTCAATCCCTTTTCCATCCATCCATTCCATTGCAGTTCATCCAGTTCACTGATAATTTTTAATTTCTGACCCGTCCATCTTCGCGCCACCAACCCATCCACCCATCAACCCCCCCTGGCAGAACGAAAGACCGACGCACAAGTCTCCAGAGTTCAAAAAGTCCAAAGAAGTTTGTGGAGGGGAAGGTCTTGAGAAAAGTGTGTGTGAGAAGTACTCGTAGTTCCGACATGGTTGCGCTTACTCGAGTACAGTACAAAATGGCAAAAGGAGGGAAAAATAATTACTTTCCTACCTTGATACCGGTATTCACTCACTCACGGACAATAAAACACTAAGCCAGGCTAGCTATACTGGTACTAGTACTTTAACTCGACAACTACCAACTGGTACGGGGAAGACTCGCTGTGACACTGCCTCACGGAGGTCACAACGTTCTTAGCACCCCCCAACCCTCCAGCGAACCGCTGGAAGGGGGGCCGGGAACCAGCCCCATGCCCAACGTAGCACAAAACCGTCTTGTCCCTCCAGCTCCGCTTTGGCGGGTGGGAAGGGAAGGGGAGGAGCGGTGGTCACACGTGGATCTGGCGGAAGGAGGGGAAAGGGGGACAACCTTTTGACAGCAAAAGACCGTTCACACCAGAAACGATATTCGAGTATTAGTCTATGGAACCAACTTTTCCTTCAGGTAGGTACAAATAACATCTACCAGAGAGTACCCAGCCAGCATGATAGCCCAGGGAAACAGATACAACGTCAGCATGGCAGGTAGGTACGATAGGCCCGACAATCAAGAGAGGGGAAGTATGATACGGAGAAAGCGTTGACTCCAGCCCTTCCTTCCTTCCTCCCTTCCCTTCCCATATATAATCCAATCAATATAAAAATCAACTCACTCATACTCGAGTATAGTATCAGCCTTAACTTATTCGGACAGCATGCGAAGGGAGGGGAAGAACCCCCTATAACCCTGCTGGGATGAGGTGAGCCCCACGTCAGGTACGGTTCGAAGTATGCTTTGCGCGGTGTTGGATTCCATTCATCACCCGGTCAAACAGGGGGTTATTGCAAAAATATCCAGGGGCGCACGGTACAATATATTATATACTTGTGTAGTGGGGGGATGAATATGATACTACAAGTACTCCCGAACATGACTCAACCGAACAGTACCCGCGTACTCTATGCACACACTCGATAAATATATGACTTTTTTTGATGAACATTTCCGTCTTGATTGACCGATTTACTGATTGATTATTGCTTCAATACCGCAGACCAAGGTGAAGTGAAGTAAACCCTTTGCTTTATTTCCACCCGAGTTTCTTATACTCTAACCAGCCAACCAGCCAACAAGATAAGACAGACAAAAGACAAGTATCATGCACCCCCACCCACCCCTACCATTCAAACAGACACTACACCACCATAAATTTACACATCATAACCCATGCAGTGGCCGTAACTTGTACTGTACCACGGTACTCCACATACCGGCAGGCAATTCACAACAACCATAAACTGCCACACGCCGGGGAAGAAACGGACGTCGTGATGACGTTATGTAATACCGATTCCGGCAAGTATATACCAGCTTTCTTTTCTTTCTCTCACGGGCACCGTAGACCACGGCTTGATGATGATGTTCAAGTCGAGCAGGTATTGAACATTCCAATCGCCGGAGGAGGAAGGAAGGAAGGAAGGAAGGAAACAAGGGACGAACGGCAAACTCCCTTCGTTTAAGTTGGCTATTATGGACTACCGAACGGTGCCGTAGTGTTCTATCTCTCTATGATACCTTGCCGTATCGTGCCGGCACGCTACGGATAACTCGTGATTTCTAGGGGTCTCTAAAAAAAGAAGGGGAAGGGAAAAATAAAAATAAAAATAAAAAAACGAATGATGATACAAGTACTGTACTGTATACCGACTGGATAAAAACATCGTAACATTATCATAACTCGCGGTGCAGGTTTTGGAACTTGCGATACGGCGGTAGGAATTGCTGAGCGGCGCGGTGAGTACAATACATGTGCTATAATGCAACCGTCTTACTCGTAGAATGTCCTTCGGAAGGGAGGCCAATGATTTTTTTCATTTCAAGATCCACTTTCATCAGGCTAAGTTAAGAGTTACTGTGTTATTATTATTATTATTATTATTGTTATTATTATTATGATATTACCGGTATTGTTCCAAGCCAAGTTACAAAGCGGTGAGTTTGTGATTCAAAGTGGCACGATCGCAATTACTTTTGATCCTGTTTTTGTTTTTTTACAGTAGACAAAAAATCTTTCACTGAATTGCGGAATCAGGAAAGAGTAACCTCTCATTCATGGACTGGCGATGCTAATCATGCTAATCATGCTAATCGAACTGAGAAGGTATCCAACAGTGACCAAGAAAAGCGCGCAACATACCGGTACTCGAGCACAGCGTGCGCCCAAGATGCCTTCGTCACAACCGCAACAGCAGCAGCAAGACCATCATAATAATGATAAAAAGAAAAAAGGAACGTGAGAACGGGACCTTTCCCCAACCTACCGCGGAAAAACACCTACGTATCGACATATTCCATCAAAATCGAGAATACCATGAGCCGTGAACCGAGATGCGGGAGAAGAATAAATCGAATTTGGAGCGGGAGGGACTTTATGCAAATGCGGAAACCGAAGTGAAAAAACAATGGGGAAAAACAATGGGGGAGAGGGGGGATCTGGAGTACCAGGTTACAGCAAGATCCGCCTTACATACGACGTCACACCGGGAATTAAGAAACCACGGGGATTTGGCGGGGCATGCGCTCCAGAGAAAAATTGAAAGAAACTGGGAGCCCTTTTGAACAGTCAGCCGGTGCCAGCAAAAGGTACTTGGGAATCCCAAGATCGTGGAAATGCTTAGGGATCGGAGGGGAAAAAACCCCTACCCGCTATGTACTCCAAGAGGGCCACATATGTATGTAAGCCTTCCTAGTGATCCACGTCGTCTGTTGTGAGTACTGTTAGTAAACGGCCTCTTGACCTTTATGAAGAGAATTCCTTCTCATTTGTTACTTACCCCACGCACGTCCTTGGACTGCGCTGAGCTCCTCCATTGTCATAACCTTACCAGTGGTAAAGTACCTACATCAGTCCGTCAGCTTCTGCTTTTGAAAATAGTCACGCGAGCTGCGTTGAGGAACGTGGTATTTGGGGAAATGTGCTTCGGCTCACTCACCCAGCATGAATTTTCGCATCGATCTCGACCCTCGAGTCCTCCGGAATCATCTCATCCGGAATCGGTATCCTCTCATGAATAGGAATTCCCTGACCTACAATTGCATCGTACTTCATGCTACAGCGGAAATCGGTCAGACCTCGAACGGCGCACGGCCGCTAACAACAGGAATGCGGGGGCAAGCGACGGGCAGTATCAGGCCAAAACTTACTTGGACATGGAAAGCATTCTGTCGATCTTCGTAATACCTAGCCAATGGAGTACCTGGCAATGGAATCGGTCAGATTTAACACATTCGGGTGGAAAAAACGATCGTGCGATGGGAGACAGGAGAAGGGGTGGAGGGTCTGGACAACTTACATCGGGCATGAGGGCTTGGAACCTCATATCCTGGGTGAAGATCAATTAGTACAAGAGTGCAGTCGGGCGACCCGCTTCTCTTCACAATGGCCATTGGAGTACCTTTACGCCGGCAATGTTCTGTCAAGTTTGTTAGCTAAGGTCAAGCCGGGGACGCAAAAAACGCATGAGAAACGCGCACCTCAGTCCTGATTAGTAGCGGATTTGTTAGCGTTGGCCACCACGAGAGGCAAAAGAACACACAGATGGATCTGGAACGTGTCGGGAAACAATAACTCACCTCTTGAAGTATTCGCTGGCTCGGTCGATTCCGCGTTTGCCTATGTTGCACCTGTGAGCTTAACTGCCGCTTCCCTCGGAAGAGCGGGCTCAAAAGCGATGTCACTTACGAGCGTTGTACACGAGGTACTATTGGAGGCACGTTAGCGGAAACGACTAGCTGTCGTGCTTGGATCTCGATTCTCATACCTTGGTAACCTCTCCAAGGGCTCTACCTTCCTTTCTGAAGTAGACCACAACACCACTGCCGCCTTTCTGCGCTTCCTTTACTGCTTCTTCGATCCCGAAGATGAGGTAAGGGCGACAAGTGCAGATATCGGAGCCGAACACATCCGATCCATTACACTCATCATGGACACGAAGGGCCAGCTTAACGTTGGGGTCGGACATCTTGGCGGGGTCACCGAAGCAGTAAACAGTCAGACCACCAATTGGAGGTAGGAAGAGCTTGATGTCGTTGCGGGTGATAAGTTCTGGGAAGGAGCCACCGGTGTTCTCAAAGAGAGAACGACGGAGAGTGCCCTCATCTGATCACGAAGAAAGTCAATGCTGTTAGCCGACGATAAATTTACAACCGGAAGTTGAGAAACGTTTGACACGGAAACAAGCTCCACCAACATATACTGCATTCAGCGTGACCCCAGCGGATGTTCGTCCCGAAAATGTCAAGTTTAAGACCGGCGAGGCCAAACAAGACGAACGGGAGAATGAAGGGCACGGTAGCGGTAGGACATGGGATAACAATTGTTCAACATACCAATTCCAAATCTCTCTGCTACACCAGGAAGATACCAGACGGGCTCGACGGCAAATTTAGTAACAGCTAGTTCACCACACTCGTTCAAGCAGATCCTTCCGTCAACCTTGAGACGACCAGCCTTTACGCTACTTTCGAGTTCGGGAAGTTTCATGTGAGCTTTTGTGATGGCAATAGTGGGACGAATCTCGACATTCTCCTTGTTTATGTAATCATTGTACAACCAAGGGGACAAATGACCCAAGGGATCCATGGCAACGATCTTCTTGGGGTCGGACCATTGAGGGAAGGGGCCAATGGTTGCGGCAGGCTCAGTGTTAGTGAAATCGGGCTTGTGATCAACCTTGAGGTCTTGAATTGCGACGGCAAGAGCGTGGTAGATACTATAGGAACCACCATGGGCGCCAATTGCTATTTGGGCAGAAGGTTAGAGAATTGGCATGGGGTAACACAGAATATAAAAAGGGCCCGCGTGACCAGAAGCAGAGGTAGTCGGTGGAAACAATAGAGAATAAACGAGCATATAAAGATTGGGTGAGGGAAAGGGAGAAAATTGAGATCATAGACCAGAATAAAAAGTTTCAAGACCTCTTGAGAGCAATCTCTCTCCCATATAGCAAAGCAAGACGGTAAAGGACTCACCATTTCTACGCCTGACAGTAGAAGCACCTCTCGAAACAACAACCGGCCCACGCTTAGTAGTATCCTTCTCCCCCCAATTCATAATAATGGGATCGATTCCGCTCTGTCCGGGATAGGTAGTAAGGATGATCCTAGAGGTAACGTTCGGCTTTCTCGCAACGGTCGGGATAACATCATTAGTGGGGGAAGCGGGAGGTTCCGTAGCCTCGGCGGCGGCTCCTCCAGTAGCAGTGGTGGCAGCAGCAGTAGTAGTGGTGATGATGGTGGCGGGCTTCTCTCTATCCTCCCCTTCTTTAACGGCGGCGGCGGCGTCATCCTTGAGCTTCTTGACGTCGGCGAGGGCGTTGACGCGGCCGTTGATAGCGTCCACGGATGCTGCGAGGATCTTGTTGTCCTGCTGGAGCTGTGTTACGGCGGATAGGATCTGGTTTAGGAGTGAATCCGCCATATTTTTATTTTTTTTGGGACGTTTTGTTGTTGCAATGTGTGTGGTCGTGGTCGTGTGCAGAGGTGGTGGTGGTGGTGGGGTAGGGAGATAGAGTTGGGTATAATTGACTGGTTGATTCTTTGATATATGGAGGGGAGGGTAGCTTTGCTGCCGGAGGTGTTGTATATAATAGGCCAAAGTAGGGATATGGGTGGAGGGGGTGAGGGTTATAGGGGTGAAGGGTGCCTGATTATCTCACTAGAGATAAAGAAGATGGGTGGAAGAAGGGGGGGGAAGGAGGAAGGAGGAGGAGGGAGGGAGAGGGAGAGAGAGAGAAGAGTTCAGTTCCTGCGTGTATGATAGCTTAAACATCTACTCTTGCACGGATGAACAAAGGAAGGGCGGGTCAAGTCCTGTGTATTTCCCGCCTACCGTGCCATATGATACTTACACACACAGTGCTCGCACTGCTAACTTCCCGCTCTTCAATCCGGTCACGAGCAGATGTGTTGTCTGGATTGCTTTGCTTGACCGATGGACAAGATCTTCCCTCTTTTTGGGAGGGGTGTCTAGCATAAAGCCGTACCGGTACAATACCGGCATTTTGCAGTAGGTACTCCCAGATACCTATCATATCCAACTTTCGCTGTGACGCCTGAAGCTATAGTTCCTGCTCCCGGTGTATGGTGCCTAACCTGCCCACTGCATCAATTTGATACCGCAAGAAGCTTATCGGCGAACCACAGTAACACACCTTCACTATTTGCTACACTAAGTTAGCCCAAGCGATCACGTGAGCCTCAACCCCTGTCCCTCACTTTATGATTCTATTTTTCCTCCTTTCTGGGAGTACCAGTACAGTATCCTTATGCGTGTTAAAAGTGTTGGTCCTTTTCTCTCCTCTTTGCCACTTTTCATGTAACCGTGACAACCATAGAGGTCTAAGCCACATCACATCACGTTTTCCCTTCCGATTGGATAGGTTTAGGCGGCAGTTTGTTGCCTCGAAACCCTCACCACCACCTGTCACCACCTCCACCACCACCACCAAGGTGAAGGACCCTTCTCTTCCACACACACAACTTCACTCTTCCATAACACCTCACCGACAACCATCACCATCAACGACGACAACAACCACATCACAACCAACAGCCCCAATTTTCACAAGTAACCAACATGGTACCCCATCCTTCGCCCCATTCATCCCACACAAGCTAACCATCCCCATCAACAACAGGGCAAACGCAAGAAGTCGTCCCGCAAGCCTACGGGCCCAAAAAAAGTATGTCACCCTACGCCATGCATAACTAACCCCCCGCCCCCTCCTACTAATGAGATGACGACCCCCAGAATGAACCCCTCGCGACCACTTTTTCGTGCCTTTTCTGCAATCACGAAAAATCCGTTACCTGCGTGCTCGACAAAAAGGCCGGCGTTGGCAGCTTGTCTTGCAAAGTCTGCGGACAGAGGTTCCAGGCGAACATTAACTGTATGTCACCATTTCTTACCTCTCTTCCTTTCTACCTACTCCTTGCGGTTTGGTTTGGTTTGGTTTGGTACATGCACCCCTCGGCATCCTCGGCGTTGTCTCGCGGTGCGGCCGCCATCGCCGGGGATGGATAACGGATGGACGCCGGCACTTCCCAGATCTCGGAGAGAACAGATAAACATTAACGTATTGGGATTGGGCGGGATAGATTTGTCAGCTGCGATAGACGTGTATAGCGAATGGGTTGACGCCTGCGATGAAATTGCGAATCCGAAGGAGAAGGCTCCCGGACGAGTTAGTGGCAGCAGTGGAACTGTGGGAAGAAGCGGCGGAGGGGGGGGAGATGGAGGGGCCGGGAGCAAGACCCAGCACAATCGCGATAAGTTTGATGACCTAGATGATGACGACGACGATGACATTGGTGGTGGGTATGGCGGGAGGGCTCAGGCGATCGTTGATGATGATGAGGAGGACTTTTAGAAGGTGCTACGGCACTATAGCCACAGGATCACTTGCGGAATGATGAATGAATGGATGGGATTTGAGTGGGTCCACGATGAGGTTGCTGTTATACTAGCCTTTCCTCTCCGTCTTTTTCTTTTCTTTTTTCTACTCTTTCTTTTCTTTTGCGAACGCGCTGGGCTGCACTCTTGATTTCTTGTATAAAAAAGGGTTGGGTTTCTGTTTCATTTTACTTTTTTTTTTTTTGCTCTTACTTTTCTTTATTGGTTCTATTACTAGTTGGTAATTGGATGGATGAGTGGATGGATATTTTTTCTTCTTCCCCCTCTATATTCCGAGGCACGTGTGACAATTGGACCACTGATGATGTGGAGGACTGGTTTTTCATACTACGAACAAGTTCCGATTACTTACAATCGGTTTTGCACAAACTTCCCTCCTTCAATTGACCAACCAGACGGTGGGCCTATGCATGGGCCTAAACAAAGGCCAACCCAACATTACATTTTCAACGCCAGAGACGATAAGGACAGAGCGAAACGTCTAAATGCAATAGAATCTATCACCGAAATCTCCCAATCCCGGAATGATATAACTGATCCCACCAGTTTGTTAGCATACTAGTATAGTCCAGATATATGTCAATGAGGGGGGGGATAAAAGGAACACACTTCTTCTCATCAAGCCCCTGATCCACAAACGCTGTCACGATCCTTAGTAAAGGGAACCTCTCGGCAAAGCTCCTGATACCTTCAGGACTAGCAATCAAGTTGAGGAACAAAATCCTCTCCTCAGGCACACCCCTAGAGATGAGCACCTCGACAGCCATAGTCGCCGACCCGCCAGTAGCAAACATGGGATCGAGCAGAAGACAGTACCTCTGGGCGATGTCCTCGGGCAGCTTGTCGTAGAAGAGGCGCGGCTTACTGGTCTCCTCGTCACGCTGGATGAGTATCTTCCCGATACGCACAGAGCGGCAGCAATCGCGGAGCCCCTGCTCCATGGCCTCGCCAGCCCGCATGATCGACACGCCACAGATCTTGCCTTCGAATTTCACGCCGGAGTAGGTGTGACCGATCGGCGTGGTGACGGAGGAGGAGATCACGGGGAGGTGATTCAAGCCTTCTTCCACTAGCAGGCGGATTATTCTATTGGAGTAGAAAATGAAGTCCCCACGTACGGTGGACTTGTCGCGGATCATCCTGTTTTTGGTGGAAGTTTCTGGGTTAGCTTGGGTTTAGCTTGACTAGAAGGGGGGCGGGTATGGGCATCGTATGAATGAATGAATGAAAGGTGGAGGTGGGGGGTACGTTAAGAGAGCGATCAATTGCGGGGTCTGCGGGAGGATATGGACATTGCTATGTTTGATAGGCTTCGAGACACTAGAATTGCAGGAATTAGCTAACTGTCTACTTGTTGCAAACATTCATCCCGCCTAGCCTAATAGGTAGGTGATGAGAGGGGGTGGGGAGGATAGTATCATACGTAGCATGCGGCTTCTCCTCCTCCTCCTTATACTTTGGCCCAATGGGTGCAGCAGGGGCTTCGGGTACAGTCGACGACATCTTGCTTTATTTATTTTGTCTGTCTCTTTGTCTTCACCCTTTCCTTGTTCTTCCTTTCCCTAGCAAACTAGCCGAGTCGCAAATATCGGTAGGGGGAAGGCGATGGAGAAAGGGGGGGGGGGAGATGAAGAAGGAGGAGGAGAGAGAAGAAGAGGTACCAGTATTATGATACTTCACCTTATGCGAGCAGCAGCTAAGGAAGGAAGGGGAAGTGGGGCTGTTTTCCCCGCAACCATTTTGGTTTAAGCTATCGTAGATAAGAGTGCCCTTCAGGGTCCTGGTCTCACTTACTTAACCTTAAACGTCCGAGGCACGTGTGGCGCCCCCTTACATCTATCAGCTATTGGCACAGTCAGCTGAAGTGAGAGGGGAAGAGAGAGAGACAAGTCACACGTATTATTGGTGTGCTGGAATGCCAGTGGCGCCGCAAGGGTACCATACACCCCGCCACGGGCGGCAAGGGAGAACACCCATCTCTTGGTAGTAAGTATCATACGATTGGGAAAGTATTGATCGATTGGGGAGTTCTTGTGCATTTACCAAGATGGAGTAAAGTACAGTAATGTACTCGTACTAGTACAAGTTACACTACCATAGTCTACTCAAGTACTTGTACAGTCGTGTCCGTAAAGTCTTCATACCCCGGCGCGGCAATGGTGTTGTCCTCCATCCCCACAACAACCACCTCTACCATGACCCCCCCACATACCCGAAGAGCTAGAGAAGATCAAAATAAGGAAATTTATGCCCTGTATAAACATACTGATATGGGGTATAATAAAATTTCTAAGGTTATGGGTATCTCTAAGGCAACTGTTCAATCAGTAGTCAAAAGAGCTGAATCAAGAGATGGAAATACCCATGATGCCTCCAGATTTGGAAGACCAACAACAATTACCCCTCAAAAAAGAAAGATAATGGAGTCCATTATCAATGCCGAGCCTCATTTAGCGTTATGCGACATTACCAAAAAAAGCAAATATTGGTCTGGAAAAGACATCTGTGGATAAGATCATATCAGAAGCTGGTTTTAAGCTTCTGATACCTAGAAAAAAACCTTTTTGGAGGAAAGGACAGAAGGAGAAGAGAAAGGAGTTTGCTAGGAGAAGGAGGAATTGGAGGGGTGCATGGAATTGGGTTGTTTTTGTGGATGAAGCCACCATTATCTATGATCCAAATCCTACTGGCAGGAAGGTCAGAGTTAGACCTGGTGAAGAGCTGGAAGAAAAAAACTTGAAGCCTAGCTTTAAGTCTGGGAGGACTAGTATTGGAGTCTATGCTGCAATCATGAAGGGTGGCAGGACTGAGTTAATTCTTGTGAGGAAGAGGGAGGAGGAAGAAAGGACCAGCAAAAGAGACAGACTTGGCCTCAATTCCCACCAATATGCAACTGAAATCCACCAGCCATACCTCATCCCTTTTATAGAAGGTCTGGATAGACCTTCTGACAACATCTACCTAGCAGCAGTCAATGCCTCCTGGCATGGTAGTGAGGAAAACAGAAAATTGCAGTCAGACTGTGGTTATTAAAAATTGCCTTGGCCACCCAACTCACCAGATCTCAATCCTATTGAGAACACTTGAACTCTGCTCAAAAGAGCCCTCAGAAATCGATTCTCCAGGTTGGATAGGAGGCCTCACAGTACTGCTGAATTATTTCAGGCAGCAAAGGAGGAATGAGATTTAATTTCCCAAGAGAAGTTGGATGGGTGGATAGATAGGATGCCTGAGAGAATACAGGCTGTACTAGATACAGATGGTGGTCATACAAAGTGGTAATAATATTTTCTTAAGGCTTATTAGTTCTATTCATATACTTTTCTTAATTGAGTTGTTTGAATTTTTTTTCAATTTTCCATGGAGAGGTGTTGTGGTTGTGTGGTTGTGCTGCCGGGGTATGAAGACTTTATGGACACGACTGTACTCGTACTACCGGTATTTGCGCTGTCTAGGACCCATGCTCAGTCGTGGGGACTTGGGTCTACTCTGAGAGCTATGAGTGACAAACTACGATATTGTGCCTAACTTATGAATTTGTATGGAGGGAAGGGGGGGGATCAGCCCGGTCACAGAATCCTCTCACACATACCTACCCTGTTGGTCCAAAAACTCCCAATATCCTGCGGCGCTGTAGAGTGCCAGTATCTTACAGTACCGGTACCGGTACTGCATTTCTATCTATATCTACTAAACCCAAGGCACAGTATGCACTTGTACTTACTTCACTTACCCGTATTGTAGGAGCCAAACGAACCCCCTCTTTCCTCACCTTTACCCTACCCTTCCCACAATTCCAATTGCCACGCAGTAAACACCGCCATCGACATCTAGAGTAACAGTAACACACACCTGTTCCTCCAGCGCGCATGGGGGATATGGCATTTTTCGATTGCCTAAGGCCTAGTCTAGATCGTGCGCCCGAAAGTACGAGCATGATATGACAGTTCCGCAGGTGGGGGTGAAGATGAAAGGAAGGGTCCAGGCCCCCCTCTTCATTCATTCAATGGATATATCACAATGTCGCCAAACAAACATGTCAGAATAGGATGGGTTAAATCTGCCATAACTTGTGATACGATACGGCACGACCGCATCGATTCCAAATCTCCGGAGATATAGTGAGTAAGTTAAGTACAAGGGAAGAATCTGATAAAAAAAATAAAAAAAATAAAAAAGTCCAAGCTTGAGTATCCATCACAATATAACTATAGTTGTAACGTGTTCACAAGGTGCTAATCACGTTATCGGTAATGATACGGTAGTTGGCAGGTAGCCTGCTCTTCTAGAGAGGAGGCGAGAGCTGAGAACTAAAGGAGGCTTCGAGGGTGTACTGAGGAACAAAGAAGTAAACGTTCAACCAAGTATATTGAAATACTGTCTGTCAAAGTCTGCCTTTTCTATCGTAGAAACAGGCGGTCTTTAAATACACAAATCTGTTCATGTCTAGCATGAATGAAACTAATCAAAGGTATCAAGCGATACACTTTGGTAAAACTTCATAAGTATCAAAGCGATACTTAAAACAAAACATAAAACAAAACCAAGTATTAAACGATACTTAAAACAAACCAAGTATCAAACGATACTTAAAACAAACCAAGTATCAAACGATACTTAAAACAAACCAAGTATCAAAGTGATACTTGAAACAAAACATAAAACAAAACCAAGTATCAAATGATACTTAAAACAAACCAAGTATCAAACGATACTTAAAACAAACCAAGTATCAAACGATACTTAAAACAAACCAATAACTGAGTACCCGTACCAGTTACATTCCCCAAAACAAAACAACTGTTTAAACAAACAAAACCTAATAATCATCAAAAGCGGATTCCGAGAAACTCATGGCTTCAGTTTCCGCAAGAAATTCCTCATCATAAGTATCACACCAGGGATAAGAGGAAACTCTAAGGAAACACTTAGACTCGAAGAAATCTAAATCACAGTAGTCACGAATACCAGATTCGTGCTGTACATCAACCCAAGCATGATCGCAATCAGGACAGTAGTCAATCCAGAGGATTTCGAAGTAGTCTTCAAGTTGGATAACATCGTGGTTCAACAACAGTCCAACAATCTGTTGTCGCTGCCTCACATTGAGCTCCACATAGTTTGACATCGTTATGGTATTCGGATGGTGATTGGTAACTAGATAAAGTTGTCAAGGGCCTGCTCCATAGTTTGATTCTCCTCATCACTGCTTTCGAATTCCGACTGAAAGTATGGTGCCCAAAATCTATCTCTAGCTTCGAGTTCTGCGTGCCATCGCTCAGTTTCTGGCATTGTAGGTGTCCAGCACATGGTGATATAATTGATTGTTGGGGGGAGGGATTCGTTTAGCATGTTGTCTTTCCACCATCAGTTCACCATATCCATAGCATGCTCTAGTCCTTCCAGTGGTTCCCAACTGTTTTCGCTCATTGGATATCCTTTCCATTTGACTAGGAACTGATCATTTCCATGCCAAATGCGGTGGTCTCTGATTTCTTCAACTTCCCATTCATCCTTCTTATCGAGGATGATAGGTGCAGGCCGAAAGTGGGTACTTCCAGGAAACTTGGAGTCGTCATTTGGATGGAATCGCTTGACAGCTGAGGCGTGAAAGACTGCAGTATTGCGGTGGTACATGCGTCCATCCATCTGGACAGTGTAGTTCTCTGTATGCTCGTCAAAGGATATGACTTTGAAGGGTCCGTGCCATCGGGGTTGGAGTTTCTTACTGCGCCCGACATTGGTAATGAACATGTTACCGTGAACCATGAGCATATCTCCTGGTGAGATGGGGACATGTTTGTGTCGTCGTTTCTGGGCAGTAGTGGTGCTTCGGAATTGGGCAGCCTTAACAGCTTGGAAGGCATCGTTCCGAATTGCTTGGTGGCGGTTTAGATGGTCATCAGAGGCAGGGACTGAGGGGTTCTTAAATAGTGTTGTAGTTAGGAGGGGGTATTGACGGCCAAAGACTGCCTTGTATGGTGACATCCGCAAGGTATCTGAAAATCCGGCGTTGATATATGCAGCGAGCTCAACAAGGGCTGGTTCCCAATTGTTTTGTTGTTTATTGATCATATTCCTAATTCCGGTCTTAACCTCGTGGATTTTTCGTTCTGCTTGGCCATTAGTCTCATGGCGTCCTGGGGCAGCCATAATGTGGTTTATTCCGAGGGAGGTCAAGGTTTGCTTCCAGAATCTGGCGGTAAAGCGGGGATCAGCATCACTGACAATAGATAAGGGGTACCCGTGGGGGGTAAACAGGTATCATTGTAGGTTATTCCAGGTGTCTTTGGAGGAGTCGGTAACCTTCATTAGTATTAACCAGGTGTATTCAGAGAATCGATCCACAGCTACCAAGACGGTGTCATATCCGGCGGACTTGTTGAATGGTCCTGCGAAATTGATGGCATAGGATTCAAATATTTCACATAGTAGTTGGAGGGTCTGAGCTTTCCCTTCAGGAAGTTGTGTTCGCTCCTTATTTGTCTGACAGAGTTCGCATTGCCTGACAAAATCACGGAAGTCCTTTCGCATTTCAGGCCAGTAAACATATTCTGAGGCATATTGGAGGTTGCGATCCGCACTATGGTGTCCTTTGTTGTGGATTTCGGTAATAACATATTCTCTAATAGTCATTCCATTGAACATATGGCCTTTTGGTATGTATAAGCAGTGTTCACCATAACGGGTGCTGGTATAGACCATTTCATTGGATATGTTGTAGGGGGTGAGGTCTCCATA